ACATCCACCCTCCCTAAACACATATTTGCAAATCAAGGATATGTATCGTTGAAATCTGCAAGCTTCTTTTGGTGAGTTTTGTTATCTTTTGGTTGGTTGAGTGGACCCTGCTCTTGGAGATTCCAAGTTCATGACTTAATCTCAACTCATGATAAACCTGATTAGAAATTCATGTTGTACCATACTAATTGGGGGTGTACACTGCAAGCCCATACATTCCATATTGGATCCTTAATGGTGATGGATGGAGCTTTGGATTTGAGTCTACTGGAACTTGAATATGGTGTTGCAAGCCCGTCTGGGCACACACCAAACTTCGGCCGAAAACAGGCCAAGCGCGCTGGGCCGATCTTAAAGCACGCTTGGCCGACTCTAAAGCCCGCGTGGCACCCTCCCAACCCCCGCTTGGCACATGTCAAAGCTGACGGGGGTCGGAGCAAAGCCTCGCTTGACCGAAATCAAGCGAGAGTGCCACGCCCGCCAACATGCCGGCCCCCGAGAAGGCCAGCTGCTGAGTTGGGGCCCAGTGCCGAGCTGGGGCACCTGCTACCAATCGGCCCAGGGCTTGAAATCGGCCCAGCGGGACTTGGGTATGTGCCAAGTCCCGCCCCCCGCAGATTCCGGATGATCAAGCCCTCTGGGCACAAATCAAACCCCCGGTGGCTATCGGCCAAGCGGGACTTGGGTTTGTGCCCAGACGCGCTTGCAAGACCATATGTATGTGCACACTACAAAAAAAAAGCTATTCTTCTACATTTCATATTTGACCATGCCTAAAAATGAAGAAGAAGACTAAATCATAAGGGCCTGTACTGTAGGACAATAAAATTCAATTTCTCAGAATTTATCTTCCTCAAGTTATAATCTCATCAATAGTGACCATCACCAACAGCCAGTTATTGGCCTAAAAGTGAAGAATTTCAACAACAGATCTCTCCATTTGATGAATTATAAAACCCCTGATGTGCATTTGTATTAGTATTACATACCATCAATGTTGTAACAGCTGCGCTGCAGATAGCGCAGCGTATTGGTTAGTGCAGCGGTTTCTTCCATCAATGCACTGCACTGAAGGGTAGTGGTCAGAGCACCACCTCTTGGGCTATTGGAGATCCCTGGAAAAAAAATTGTATTTTAGCGCGCTAGAATTAGCGGTCAAGTAGCTCCAATCTGCTATAATAAGCGGTAGCGTAGCTGTTGACCGCTGACTTTAGCGGTAGCGTAGCGATAAGTTATCCGCTATTCTACATACACAGGGGGAAAAAACCAGGGAAAAAAATGATCTAACAAGATAGAATAAGAGAAAACAGAATTATGCAAAGTTTTTTTTTGTATTTAGAATTTTACTACTAAAAATGGAATAAGAGAATAGAATCATAAATAGAACTTAGAAGTAGAGAAAGGGAAAGAAGCTACTTCTACTTTTTTGAGTGAGTTGATTGCTTCATGGCATGATATTTGCTGAACTTGGGGTTTTTGCGGGTATCGTCAATCACTTGCTGGCAGTCGGCAAATATTCCATCAAGCCTGACCCCATTTTGGATCCACATATGAGTGCTGATACAACGTTCAATCATTCGTATCACCATTGCCGATCTACCAGAGTTGCAAACTTGGGCCGCCGCCGAGAAAGTTTGTTCAACAGTTGCGGAGCTGGCTGCACATGCCAGGTAATCCCGCGCCAACGATGCCAAGATTGGGAAATCTTGGAAATGTGCCTACATGCCAATATGGACATTGATCAGAGACATAGACAATGAATGAACTTGTGTTGGACTTACCTTCCACCAACCCAGCACACAGCCTTTCTTGTCCATTGGGAATAAGCCATCATTGTAGCGCTGGATTTCAGTGTTGATTTGTTCGGCTTCAGGATTGGCTGGGTAGAAATTGAATTCTTCCCCACCGGAATCAGATTCGCTAGTGCTCCTTGAAGGCAATCGATCTTGTTTTCGTGGGGGTGATTCCGGCTGAAGTGAATCGACCTCAGCTTCTCGAGTGTCGAATACTTTTTCGATTAACTTAGTGATTTGTGGTACGTGAGTCTTGAATCGTGAGTTGAATAGCATCATCCTCCAAGAGGGATGAAGAAAAGTCGCAATGATGACTGTGTCACATTTGAGGGCTAGGTCAATGTACTTCTGAGTGACTCTCAACATAGGATCATACATTGGTTCCAATACCGTCAATTTTGCGGCCTCCTTCCTTTTTCTGAGGTTTTCAAGCACTCGCACGTATTCATACAAGACCATCGGTAGCTTCGGCCCATCTCCCTCCATTCGCTTTGTCATTTCCAAAAATTCCTACAAAAACAACCATTGACTTAACTCTCAATCTACACCAATTGTCATTGAATTCAAACTGTTTACCTTTAAAACTTGATTTAAGTCATTGATATCTTCCCACTCCTTTGATGATAGCTCATAGGATTTAAAGTGATGCCCATCTGCTGACCTCCCAGTGTACTTATTGGACTCGTTCTCAAGAAGCTGCTTAATAACCTTCCGAGCCCCATATGCACGATTTCGGCTTTCGTATGTGATATTCCACCTTATCCCATAGCCCGCAATTATTCCTGGACCAACATAGTTAAGCTTTTTTGCCCACACCTTCCACTCAGCCTGCTTTTGTGGCGATGACGCAATCCGTCGACATATGTAATCAATCTAGTAGCCATATAGGAGTATCAGTTGCAGTGTGCATTTAAAATGAATGCACTGTGGTTTGAGTAAATAATAAAGTCTGCTTACCTTCTTCAATGTGAAAGCAAATCCAGTTGCATCACTTTCTTCCTCATCGTCAGTAATATCGTCCGGGTACCGCTCCCAGCCAGGTTCTTGAGTTCCAGGTTGAGCATCATCGGGATCAATCTCCTCTGTTTCAGATATATCATCGGCAATCACAACTACATCTTCTTCTTCTAAATCTTCATCCATGACCTCAACAATTGTACTGAGGGTTGGGAAAGGTTGATCGCTTCGCTCGGGTCGGACAACACTTTTCAATATCTTCAGGGCCTTCAAGCCTGCTCCCAAGATCAGAGCAATGACATGACATACACATTGATGGTGAGTCCGCTGAACATCCCAATGTGTTGAGTCAACCGCACGGAAAATTGAGGAAACACCTTTGGCCATGGTGAAATTGTTACTCCCGGAGTCTGTTGTCTGTGCAAGGACGTATATAATTACAATATCAAGTCAGATCGACCAGAAAACCACAGAAGAAAACAATCAAAATACTTATCTTTTGGTGAAGGCCATGCTTCACTAACACATTGGCAAATGGGACAGCGAGGTACTTGCCATTGTGATGCCAGGAAATGTATTTCATCGCTAGGTGTTGGCATACATATTTCCAATCAGGAGTGATGTAACAGCACGCAATACCAACAAAGGCTTTATGACTTCCCTTGCTTGTCCATACATTGGATACCAGTGAGGACTTTTTGACTTTGAGCTCTAGAATAGAATAGATCAAACGAAAATCAGGTTGTTAATTTATATTTTGAACTGAATTTTGAAAGAACATAGGGTAAATTGAACTCACCTCACTTGAATGTAGGACCTTGTCTTCGCTGGTTCAAGGGCATAGCTGATGGGTCTGCCAGGGCAGCCCATACCCAATAGTAATAGTTCGGCATTGTGGGAGAGAATAATCGAATGAATCCAAAGAAAGGAAGTCTTCAACTCTTAATCCATGGCAAAGATTGCCGAATAATCCAGATGACAAGCAATTTGTTGAGGGTCTTATTATCGAATCATTTCTTTGTTGCATACGCTGTAAGACTCAAAAAGTGATTGTAAGATCCTTTTTGCTGAATGGAGAAAGGGATGAAATGAGCTGCAAACTCTGCCTTTCTATATTATCAGAAAACAAGACCACCAAGGTAAGCTTGGCAGTTTGGTTGGTGATAATGGATTATGTTCAAAGATGGTTGTATAATTGTTGAAGGTTGATCTTGTTGTCCAAAGAATTGATTGAGTTGTTGATGTTGTTTCTCGTCTTGATGTCTTGATACTCGGGCTCTTCCTTGATGCTGTATATGTATAATGTAATAGAGGTGGTTCTTGAACCCAAAGGGTCTGGGAGCACTATGCTTCAACCAGGACTGGAACAAAGGACTGGCTCTTCTGTGTAATGTTTGTGAAATGAACTGTGTATATATTTCAATCTGTGAACTGTACTACTCGTGAACTTCTTGTGTAATAAATATATGTAATCTGTGACAGGTGTCCCACCAAAAATGTGTACTGAGTGGGATGAGGAGGGAAACAACTGGCAGGCAGAGGCCTCCTTATATAGTAATTTATGAGGGATTTTAGCCCCAAGGGACCCCCTGTATGAGGCATTTTAGCTGCCCTATCCTTGAAAATCCTGAGGGATTTTGGCTAGACTATCTACCATGCATCCCTTTTATATGTAAGCTGTAAGAAAGGAATTCATGTGTTCTGTGGCTGAATAAATGGGAATTTAACTGGTACAACTGGTGGCCAACTTGTGGTTCTGTAAGTATAAAAGGAATTCAATATGAATAAAAGGAATTCAATATGCAATATTCAATATACCCCCATGCAATATACCCTCCAGCTGAGTGCCTCTGATCCTGTGATCCTCCGTGTGACATCCTTGATTCTGCGTAACTTCTGATCCAGTAGAGTTATGAAGGTGGTTCCAGTGAGTGACTAGGGGTTAAATTGGCCGTAGATTGCATTTCTGACGTCCATTTGTCCATATCTTGAGTCCTTCATTGATAAATAATAAAATTTTGAATTTTCTTCCTTCATACACAGGAATAATGACCACAATGCAAGCAGGGTTCCCTCTCCAGCGGCTCGTGTTTTTTTTTCTTCAGCGGCAGTGGGAGGAAGGTGGGCTCCCTCTTTGATGGCTTTGCCGCGACCGGGGCAAGCAGATCGTAGTGAGCCCTTGATGTTCGCTCCATCCCGGTGAGACTTGAGGTTGTAATAAGATCCTCCAGAGGCTTTGAATTCATTTGGGCACCATCGACAGGCCCAGGCAGTGCCGTTGGGATTCTAGGAATGATGAGAAGTTTGATTGCTAGTAAGTAGGCAGATTTGGTTGCAAGAAGGTAATGGAAACAGAGAAAAAAAATCTGACCTGCTTTGGACCACTACCTGGGAAATAAAAGAAGAGCCGAGCATGATCGAAACCGTCTTTATCTTTAGTTGGATCCTTCTTTTTACGGGTTTTGGTGTGCCTTTCATTTTCTAAATCCGAATCTTGAGCATGATCAATGATGACTTCAATCCCAGTACGGCTGGCAACTTGCTTGGTTCCTGCCAACAGGTTTGTTGGGCTTTTTGATCGGCTGTTTGGTGGGAAATTTGTATCGGAATCGGATTCTCCATCATCTTCAACAATATTTACAACATTCTTCTTCTTTTTTTGAGCTTGGACCTGGGACCGATTGGTGGAAATAGCGGGACTGCTGGGGACTAGAGCACGGCAAGAATCGCCTTGGGTGGAGATGAACCCTGGCCGTAAGCTAGGAGTACGAAGACGAGTTGATTCTCGGCGAACGGATTGGGGATGATCGACCGGGTTGTTTGAGGAATTAGGAGGGGTCAATGGAACAGGTGGATTGATTGGTTGAGCCATGTTAATTCAGACAGGGTGGTGGGGGAGAGATGAGGTGGATACAACTCGTACGAGGTTGAGAGGTAGCCTTTCAAGTCGGAGGTAAGGCTGCCAGGAATTCTGCAAAGTATTGGCAGCGCTCGGCCAGCAGTGCACCCCGCAGCTTTTAGTGGTTGGCGCAGCTGGCAGTGGGCAGGTAGCCCACTTGTAGCTTAAAAACGCTACAGCTGCGCTGTTTTTCAGCTTTAGTGGTTAATTTCCCACTGCACTAAAGCTGATACCCCGCAGAAAAAAGCTTAACTCCACTAAGATTAGCTGTAGCGGTAGCTCTTTTGACGTCAGCTAAAGCTACTTTGCCTGGAGGCATAGCAGTGTGACCACTGCGATACGCTAAAAGGGGGCTTTTTTTAGCGTAGCGCAGCTGTTACAAGATTGATACCATGTATTAGCCCAGTTCAAATTTCACACTTTCCACTGCTAACTTGTAAATAAACTTTCTGCTTGCTGATTTCAAAACTTTGTCCAAAGTTGCACTGGCAGCAGGCTAATTTTAAGCGTGAGATCTCAATTCCCTCTGCTAACTTCATATAAAAACTTTGCTAAAAAAAATTGAAATGTGAACCATCCTATTAGCTTCAGACTTCTTTTTTGGAGAACCATTTGATTTGGCTGCACAAATGACATTGCATTGAACCAGTACTTATTAATTCTGATTGAGTTGCAGAGTAGCTGGGTTGAGGAAGCTCTGAGGACAATAGACATCAGACTCTCCATCGTGCAATGCAATAGGCTGAATACTTACTTAAAAAAATCTCAAGTTTTTACTCAAATTTTTTCATGGCTGATAGCTGCCCTTGATCATGATCAATGTATGAGCACAGCAGTAAAATTGACCACAAGTTCATAGGCCTCTTAATAGCCTTCTCCAAACACCTCCCTCTTCTTCCAAAAAAGAGATGAAATATATTAACTGGCAATCTGGAGGATTGTATTCAAGTTTGTCTGAGACTGATCTTTCTAGGTCTGGATATCCATATGTTGCTACAGCCTGGGTGGATGTTTTGTGTACAGTCTCCTCCCAGATGTTTATAGCCATCTGTTTTGAGCTCCACACTGGGAACCCAAACATTTCAAGTCACAAGAATTTGTGGAATGGTGGAAAATGGGTCTCAAAGAATGAATATGAAAAAATAATAACAAAAAATAAGATTTTAAAATTTGTAAAAAGTAAAAAGGAGAAAATCACAAAAACTGACAGCCTCAATTTTTCTTTCAGGAAAAGATGAAATGTCCAAAGTGATAGTATGAGATCTGGAATGAATGATAAAAAGTGAAAATTTGGAAAAAAAATGACTACTTGGTGGTTTAAAAAGGGTGCCTGTCAGCTCTGGTCTCTTATGTGACCTAGAGTTGATAGGGTTTTTGGGTCACACTATAGCCAAGAGGGCCAGTGGAAAGAAGTCCAACTCAACACTGGTACAGTGGAGGGACTGGCTCCTTATAAAAATAAGGGACAGCTGTGGAATGAGCTTCACAGTGCCTGAGCTCAGTTAATATAAGAGAAAAGGGTTGGTACTAGTCTTATAAGTTAAATAAGTAACTTATAAGGCTAGTAATGAGTATAAGGAAAAGAGTAATTAATATGTTAAGACTATTGTAAAAACCCCACTCACTATTTATTAGTATTTTAATATCTAGTAAGGTGATTGGGTTTGTATGGTAATAATGTCTGGGGGGTGAATCTCAGGGGGAGAGACATCCTCTTAAATATTACATAGCAGGGGTCAATTCTGCTGCTGGGACCGGTGCAGTCCCCTTATTGTTACACTTTTCCTTGGGGGAAAGTGTCAGGATATTCAGAGCATGATAAATGTACATGTGTTGAATATCTTTTATTTCAGAAAATACCATAAGAGAGATAAACATAATAAACATACACACAAGAGAGGTAAATTGGATAATCATCTCTTGGATACACCCAGGAGATAATTATCCTTTTCAACTTGATTATAATTTTCATGGAAGAGGTAAATTAATAAAGAGGTGAATCTTTATTAATTTACAGAATAATTATTAACATAAAAAATACATGTAAAAAGAGATAACATTACTTAATAGTTATTAACTTAAAGATTACACATAATAATAATTGTTATGTAACCCAAGGGGGTTACATTCTATTGTAGACACCTGGGCTAGTGTCTCAGTGTCTGACAGTGCCTAGGGGGTCATTCATCAAGAAATGTGGCATTCTGGTACACTTGAAACATAACTTCATATCCCGCAATGGATGTGCAGTAAAATAAACCTGGATATGTAGTATTTTTATATTTTTTTTTTGTTCACCTCTTCACACCAATTTTTTTAAAAAAAAAACACTTAATATCCAGTTTTTTTTACTTCATATCCAGTACTGGATATGAGGTAGTGTTGAAAGTGGTACTGCAATCTACTGATTTTGACTGCAGGGTGTCCACCCACCATGCTGAAACTTTTTTTGGATCAATATTTTTCATTTATAATCATTCTTTTCATGTTCCAAACTTGCCCTCTGTGTGTTCACTTTTCACTCAAACAAAAAATTAAAGTTTTCAAAAAAAGTTGATTTTCTTTTATCTTTTTCACAAATTTTAAAATCTTATTTTTCATTATTATTTTTTCATATTCATTCTTTGAAACCCATTTTCCACCATTCCACAAACTTTTGTGACTTGAAGTTTTTGGGTTCCCTCTGTGGAGCTCAAAACAGATGGCTATAAACATCTGGGAGGAGACTGTACATATTCATGCATGGATTTCTGTTCACTTCTGGAAAGAGTATGGCCCCTACCGCAAAAAAGAGTTATCCTAACAGAAAATTTATAGCTCTGTTTGAAAAATTTATAGTGTTGAGCATCTAAATTTGATGTTTCTGGCTTTCTGGCCGGCCACCCGGATTATGCATGTCGCCAGCCGGCCAAGTTGATGCATCGACCAACTCGGGCTCGCCGCCGTCTCCACGTTACAACCAGCATCACCAGACTTGGCCATTGAGCATTCCCACCACCCAGGAACCATTACGACTATCCGCACAGGCTACAAACCACACAAAACCCAAGTATTCCAACGCTCGATGGCGCGCACACACTCCATCTCGACTTACGTCTCATGCGTCTTGCTGGTCCTTATTTCGTCTCTCGGTCGGCCCGCAGTTGAGGCCTCAGCACTTACCACGACCGTTGCTCCGGGAGAGAAACTTTGCTTCTATGCCTGGGTCGACAAGCCGAAGGAGAAGGTAGTTTTTCTTTTTTTTTCTTTTGCAATTTTAAGCTACAATTTCAGTACCAGTACTCCGTCGATTGTACCAGCTGACCGAGATCTGTGATTTGTTTTTGGACCTGTGTCGTTGACAGGTTGGGTTCTACTTTGCAGTGCAATCGGGTGGGTCGTTTGATATCGATTGGAGCGTAACAGATCCTAGTGATAAAATCGTGATCGAGGGAGAGAAGGAACGACAGGGCGACTTTGTATTCACTGCGCATGAGGTCGGAGAACACTCATTCTGTCTGAATAATGACATGTCATCCTTCAGCGAAAAGGTCGTCGACTTTGATATCATGATCGAAAGTGAACCCAGATCAAGTCCTCCGCTCAAACAAACCAGTCTCTTGGAACAAGCCAGCAGTCTTGAAGAAAGTATCTATAAGCTTAGTGGTAGTCTGAGTAACATTCAACGCACTCAAAAGTATTTTAGGTACATACACTCCTCACTTTCTACTTACTCTTTTTTTGGAGATTCTCACTCAACCCCTCCCCTGTCTGGATTCTTTATCCAGAACACGCGAAAACCGAAACTCGGCAACAGTAAAAGACACTCAAAATCGGATCGTGAGTTTTGGCATCTAGAAATCCCCCCAGATCGAGATGGCTAAAATAGATTGTGTCTGGTTTTTAGTTTTATTTTAACATTGGAATCAGTCTATTACTGATTGGCATATCATTCACTCAAGTATGGATAGTGCGGAAGTTGTGAGTCTTTCTGAAACTTGAGAAATGTCCGCTCAGCAACAAAACTAACCTGGCTCGTTTTTCTTCCCAACACTCAAAAACAAAATCATTAGCTTCAACTCTCCTGGCAAGTATGTGAGAGTATAAGAAAACATGAGAGCATCCTCTATCTCTGGACTTTCTTTTTTTCTCTTTTTTTTTTCACCTTACCTGTAAAATGCTTTTGATTTTTTTTTCAAGCGATCTCTCCCAAATTATTCCTTCTAGTTAGATTCATGTATGCACCCAAAATCATCAGCAAACTCTGTGTTTACAGGATTCCGTTAAAAAGCTTCATGCAGGACTTTGACGCTTAGGCACCGAATTGACTGATGGTCTTCTCACGCGTCCCTTGAAGGTTTGAGCAGCTGGTAGCATATCAATAATCCTGCGAATTACCAGGATACTACCGAGCTTTTGAGAAGTTGCTGGCACTGTTAACACATATTCCGAATTTTCCGATTTCAATCAGTAATTGTGATGCAGCATGTTAGAGAAGAAGCTGCAACCTGAACAAGTGAAACCATATCTTGATGCCACAAGTAAACCACAATGTATTTTCTGTCCAATCCTTGAAAAGAAATTACTGCCTTCCAACCCGTGCAGTTATGTAAATAATGCATTATTCAACACAAAACAATTGCAAAATCTTTTGTGGTGTTCAAAATTACCTAAATATATTTTTACTTATTGGCATAATCCTGCATAATCTGCAATTTTGACTGGGACCTGTCAATCTGAGTTTTAACTATGCTGACAGGTCCCAGCCAAAATATTACATTATGCAAATAAGTAAAACTCACTTAGGTAATTTTGAACACCATATTTTTTCAGGAGCAGGCCAAGTGAAAAAATAGGAATGCATTTATCCATAGAAGTGGACTTAGCATACCGGTCAATTGTGATATAGGAATGTTGGAAAATGTTTTAAGAATATCCAACAATTCCATTTTTGGGTTTCAGTAAACTGGCTAAATGTCTTATAATACATATCTTCTTGCCTATTGGATCATTCACTCAGATGAGACATATAAATGATAAATAATGTTCCTCAGGCCCAAAGTGATTTATTTCAAATGGAATAGGTTGCAACTGTAAGCAAGAAATTTTGAAAAAACTGTCATCTGAGATTGTAATAACACAGCTTAGAATACAAAGGGGAATTGACTTGAGTTGGCTGAAAGAAATAGATATTCAGGATCATGAAAACAGGCAATTTTCTATCAAAACTCAACTGATCAGCCCCTGATGTGTATTTTTCCTCTAAGCAATAGAGATTGGCAATCCAATGAAATAAATAAAGCAGTTTTCAAATTGAATAGGGGTTTTTCTAATTTTTGGAGTTTTTCTTTTTAGGACTAACCGTTGAGGTTCCTAGTTTTGAATTGGGATTCATTCTTTGTCACTTTGATGATTCAGTGACCTTTTTGAGCATTTGGAATTTCTCTGGATAATTTTGCTTTGTGGGTGTTTTGTCTTGAGGGTTTAATTTCAATTTTGGATCATAGATATTCAGAGCATTTGAGCTGACCAACACAAGTGATTCAATTTTCTATATTTTTTGAGATGTTGCTGGAAAGAAAGAATTTTGCTATTGGGTGCGATGGAGAGTGGCCCTAGTGCAATTACAAAGCCCTTCAAATCAGATCCAGAAACAAATTGAAATAAAAAGAATTGCACCTCAATGTTGATTGGGTATCTGCAGATGCTCAACAGATAACTGATCACCGATCCATGTGAAACAAGTGTAAATTCTTGCTTATAATGTAATTGGAATGCAAGAAACAAATTAAAGGTGTGTTTTCAAACCAATTCAGTACTATGTGCAAACATCCTTTACCTTTGGTAATGGATTATCATCGAGACCAACATGTAGAATCATTCAAGATTCTTCTCAATACAAGTACTGATTTTTCGGTTCTCTATTGTTTTACAGGGTTATGGGGCTGGATATGGGATGTTGAGACAAGTTTTCAGAAAGGAGAAAGACCGATATAACGGGGTTGTCTATGAGTCAACTATTTAAATTAATTAGTCAGTTATACAAGTGGGAATTGGGAAAATGGTGAGGTTTAGAGCATGTGGTCTTGGAAGCAGGATTCGCTTTGGAGCGATTTTAGGGGTGAGTGGGTGCAAGAAAAGATTAGAAATTCGATAAGAGAAATTTACACAGTTTGTAATATCAAAGTTTTGGTTGATTCAGAATCTAAACAAACAGGAGGATTTCATTCGCTTTAAATCTTTGAGTTGTCAACGCTGGTATCCTCACAGAAAAAACCGTGCACTGAGGCGAGTAAACAACATCCCAGTCCCGAGAGGAGAGGAGAAAGACAGATCTTCTTTCTTTGGCTCCATTGAAGCTTATATTAAGAACCGGTTTCCATCGTGTATCCCCCACTTAGCTCCTTTTGTTGAGACTTCTCAGCTCGGCGTCAGTCCTGTTTGCTCGTTTTTTGATCAGCTTGAATGACCAATCTGAACCTGAATGTGTCTTCGATCTCAATACTCACAAGTGCCCCATTCCCGCCTCCATCTTTGCCTTCTGCCTGGCAGCAGCTTTGAGCTTCGATCTCCTATTCCCAAACCTGAAGTCGAGAAAAATCAGTCAAGAAAAAAGACCAAGAATAAGTAAGCAATGTATGTATGCATACCATGTCCGCAATTGACTCGTGGGTATTTTCAACTTCTCCGCGAGCTCTTCCATTTCCCGTTTACTGAGATACTCTTGAACGGCAAAACGTCTCAAAAGTATCTGTTCCTGCTCTACAGTTAACCGCCTTCTTGGGACATGGTTCGTCAGATGATGGATGTCGATCAAACTTCCTACACGTTTTTGATTAGTCTGGTAATCTCTACTTCCAGACACTTGAGGCGAATTTTGTTTTTTCCCAGAGGTCGTACTTTTCTCGGGTTGATAAGCACCACTACGGGCGGGGAGGTTGTGAGGAGAAAACTCTGTGGGATGAAGGGACGAGAGAAGATGAGATGATTGATGGTAATCGGAAGTGTTCGCGTCTGCCAGTGGGTATTTGACATGCTCACTCGAAGATTGATCGTAGGATGGCGAACGGGAAGAGGAGGATCGCGTCCGCATATCCCATGATAGATGGGAGGAGCTCTCACCGGTTTCGTGGAAGCTTTCGATAGGATATTTCGAGGTGGTGTTGGGTAAGACGTTGAAATCATGCATCAAGCCTGGTCCTCCACGGCCTTCGAATCCAAGCAAACTTTCTTTGATCTCATGCGCGTTTTGGGACATCTCTCCTCGATTCATTATGGGCAATGATCGTTTCGAGCCTATCAATGGGGCGGCACGACTGGTTTCTAGAGTATAATAATCAAGGCCCAGAGGAGGCGAAAGTATTGGGAGAGGCTGTGACGCAGATGAACAGACGGCCAAGCCGGAGGCGGCTTCTTGGCTGAAGGGCATGAAAGGTGAAATTTCTCGACTTTCTGTTGCTTTCGAGAAGATATTCGGATTTGGTAAGGACATTTGATGATAGGTAGCGCTGGTTTGTGTGCTGTTTTCGAAAGGAAGAAACGAGTCTGTTTCCGAGAGCTGGCAGGTCGGGCTCGAAACCATGACTGGCTGGTTATAATCATAGCTCAAGAGCTCAGTTTGGCTGTTGGTGTTCAAAAAATCGAATTGATGCCTTAAGAAATCATCCGAAGCCGGATTCCCCAAGTTCATCTGCTCCAATTGGCTCGGAAAGATGAGTGGATCCCACGTGGCTTGCGGAAGCGTGACCGGGTTTGCAGGCAGCTCGAAGCCAGGGCTGCTCAAGCCGAGTGGTGGGGCCAGTGAAGTAGAAGATGAACCAGTGTGAGTTGGAATCTTCGCGCCCAGATTGGTTGCACTCGACCATTCTGCTCTGAGGTTGTGATCGTTGAAGCTGAAAAGATAAAGCACAAAGAGAAGAAACAAAATCAGCTGGTGTTGAACTTCAAGCTGAGCCTGGATGGGTTGTGGAACGAAATCTTGCAATCTACAAAGCTGACGCTAGCGGTATCTCACACCCATCTTCGCCATATGCCCTTGATATTATCTCATGGTCTAAGCAACCACCACCGTTGCTGTTGGCCCTTGCCCGCATTCCATCGGCTTCAGGTAAACTCATTTGAGAGAGATAGCTCGTGTGCAAGACTGAAGATTAATGGTCACAGAGTATTATTTATGTAGTAGTTTCTTTTCTTATTTTCTTATTTTTTTCCCTTTTCGGAAAGCTTAACTGGTAATTGGTACGAAGGGAGACGGAGTGCTTGATATGTCAATCAGAAGGTCCAAAGGGAAAGGGGGCTGTTGATGAGAGCCTTCCGCAGTTAACGATGTGGTTCGCTATTTTATGGAGAAGAAGGGCGAATCCAATCAGACTGTTAAGCCAGGATACCGGCGGGCATGTGAAAAAGAAGCATGCAGCTTCCACTAAAAATCAAGCCTCAAGAAGTTTTTGTAAGAGGTTGGGGTCTAGGGCGAATATCCGGAGGAAGGTTGTGCCTGCCTTGCACTGCAGGCGTTGGAGAACCGCGAACTAGGGGAAGCGGACTCTGCGAGAGTAAGGCCAAGAAAAGACGAAAGCTGGGCTAAGGAGAGACGATAATGTCTACCGCCGATGTCCCCCCTCCCCACTCGGCTTGCGACTGGGGTGATGATGCTCCCTACCGGCCTTAATCAGCTGCTAGGATATTTACCTCTACAACTTCCGACAAAGTTCGTTTGAGTTTTGAAAAACTTGATGGGCTGCAGCTTTAGAGAGAAGCCTCTTTTGGATTGCAGAAGTGGTATCTACAGTGACTTTCCCATCTCTTTGATTCGCCCACCACCGATGGACTGCGTTCTTCCCATAACGCTAGAGGACCTCAGGCCACTTCTCGTCGGCTTGGTAGGAGACCTGGCAAGCAATGATTGCAAAGAGGTCACTGAACCAATTGTGTATCTACAGCTATGGTTAAAGTTTTCTCACAAGTCGATCTGAGGGCTTGATCAAGGTGATGATGCTGATTGCTATCGTACCACTGGGAGCAAAGTTTGGGGTACTGAGCCCCCTCAAGCTGACCAAGACAAGCATTAGTTCTATTCTGATATGTATACAACTCAACCTCAAGGAATGGGAGGGTTTGAATATCTCGTTTGATGACCTCAAAACAGACTGAGACTCCAGTCGAGGCCTGATGGTATTTATGTATACCAAAGTTTGCACCACACAGACTCGAAAGAACAGCATCGTCAAACAGCGTTCGCCGACGAAACTCAATGCACCATGGATGGAAAAATATGTAAACGGTTGGCCACATATTCATTTAGATGTGCGGATTCCTTCTCAAAATTTTGTAAATAAATCCGCCCTGCTATCTCTCCTTAGCCCACCTTGCCTGGCCGTGAGGGCGCGCATTGCTGAAGAACGTTAAGGTTGTGGGCGAAACTGCAACGATATCTGATGAACTGCCTCAACCCCGGCTGATTGGGATCAACTTTTATTAGCCTGGTTACGTCAGTCGTTGTTTTACGAATGCAGCAGCTTCATGGTTCGTCGAAAAGAATTAATTATTTTTTTTTTTAAAAAAAACTTTTTTTGATCGAGTGCATACATATTTCCGGTCACAGTGCAGCTCTCAGGTGATTGGATGGGGTCGACAGGACTCGATTATTGGCCGACATTGATGATGTGCAACCTGAAGGCTATGGGTGCTACCCGCAAGATTTCCTCCAGTCCCGTAGAGAAGGACAGGTCCAGCTTCAACCTTTAGATTTAACTGTCTCGAGGTATAAGCACACCTTGTTTATCGGGATGGCTGCGTCTAGTGCCTCTTCGCTGATGTGCGTAGGTGCACATCTATCTACCCTAATCTGATGAGCTTGCTTCACGGTAAATGGAGAGAGCGCAACAGACAAATGCTGCAGATGAGGAAACAGCAAAAATTTGACCAGTTGTCTGCAAGCAACTCCACCTACGATGTTGTATTCTAGAAAATTCTTGAAATCGAGAAAACGCTTACACAGGAAAAGCCAGATCCGCCTTTGAATCTGATACAGATCTTGAGCCTTTGCGATGACATCTGGCGGCAAGCACCCGTGGCAGTTGTGCACTAAGAAAAATGTTTTTTTTTAACTTGCTACGTAGCAAGTTACTCAGCCGTCCAAACGTATCCATCAATGAGTACTGGAAAGTTATGACCCATGATCTGCATCTCATTTTAATAGATGGAGTTCAAGCCCAAATTGGCTGCCTGGCACAAACATTCATTCGATGTTTCCTGCTCAGAGCTCCAGCTGAATGTTTTCTAGTTCTTACTTTGCCCGTTCCATTTTGCTCATGATTTTGCCAAATCTCAAAAAACACGTTATCTGTCATAAACGTCATACATGGACTGACCCAGGAGCATGACGACGGAGAGTTAATCGGCATGACTCTCATCACCTGTCTATCATTCATGGCAAGACTAAAGCAAAAGCTACCGCAAAATTGGTATTTATGTAGTTGCTTTTTCAAATATAGGAATGAATTTTATTTTGACCCACTATAATTCTGAATTTCTCGTTACCCTTTACTCAGGAAGACCCCCCAACCTCAATTTTTCCCGAGCACCTGGAGACTGGGCCTGATATCCGTACAACGCCCCAAACATACGAGAGTTTCCGTCCTGAGCACCGCATATATTTTCAAAATCTGGTGGGAAAGATCCCCACCGAGGGACTTTCCGCCTAGAACAATTACTGTGATATCCTCACCGCTGATCGACCATCTTTTTTTGCAAATGCGAAGCATTGCGTGCTCGGGCTTCCTTCCCCGATATATTTTCCAAGTTATTTGTATGATTGCCTGCGGTTCTAACCACCGTGCTTCGAAATGAAGCGCACTGATCAAGAGAGTTAGACTTCCTGCGACTCGCCATTTTTCCGGCTTTCGTGGAAAACTGGACATCGGAGGTGATCGTATTTCCTAGTACTTTGGTTTTATATATCTCGTGTGATTAACAACTTACGATCCAGATGGACTTAAGAAGTGCAAATCCTAACGTTAAATTTCCTCCAGATCTTAACTCAGAACTTCTGGTGCGGTTTTTAAGGAGACCTAATTCCTCCCCAGCACCATCATGTGTTCTTTTATAGAAGATTCCACGTTCAACCAAACAGCCGATGAAATAATTAGTATTAGCCAACATACAATTGGCCGGTGGTCCAGCTGGCCATGAACTTGGTACCCAAAGTTGAGTGAAAGCTCCTCAATCCACATTTCGAGTTTTTTTTTTTTTTTTTGAAAAAAACACTGATTTCAAAGCGGCCAAAGTGGTATACAAACAGTCCACCAGGAGCGGTTTCACCAAATCAAAATCCGAGAGATTGAGATATTTATATTCGGTAAGAGAAGGATTTATGTGCTTGAAATCTACCGAGAAAAAGTTGAGCCCAACCGGAATAGGAGATGATTTTCTCGTACATGGTCTTGCTGATGGCGATGCTTGGTAAGACCACATAATCTCGGATCTGTCTATATGCTGTGAGGCACATGTGACTCTTTTCAAGGTGAATGAGGGCCCGATCTCATCCTTCCGCTGCAGATTATTTTAGTATCAAGCATGTGCGGGTGCCCCGGGCATCTCGGCATGGATACTTGCCCAAGCCCTTGCTGTTGCTGTGTCGGGTCGGAAGTTGGCCTCGGCAGAGTCCGTTGGCGGGGTACAAAGCTACATCATAACTCGACGAATTCCATTCCTCCTGCTGGTGAAGTGGCGAGATGCTGGTTGCATTGTGCTAACCGGAGCATGGTGCAGGGTCCCTGTGGGACAGCATTCCCTCTTCATAACACTGTTAAGTTAGGGTCCCGCCTCACCTGATCAGCACAGGGAAAGCAAAACTTTGATAAGTTCTTCATGCTCAAAATTTGATGCTTGCCCCTTATTACAAGTGCTTTCCTCAGGCCTAGTGGCATCATCCAATCATGTTGAATTCCTCGCCGGGAATACCATTGGAAATAATACAAGCTGACTCCATCATAAAGTTTTACTGCAGCACACACCAGCCCTCATTTTGAGATGGTTGTACTTGTGGGCCTTTTCAATTTTCTCTGCAAAATGATAAAAAAAAGACATGTCCAATTTAAACTTGGCTGATTTTGCTTACAATGATCCTAAAATTTATCTGCGATGAATATTCCCTACAGCAAGTTTTTTATCTGCAATGTTTTCCGCCACCTAAATTTACTACTTTCTATAACAAACTCAATAATTCAAAATTGACATATTTACTTCTTTTGCAACTATGAGTTTATGGGGAGTTTTCTAACCCTCCTCGGAATGTTTGATCCAATGAGCAGCCCTGTTTTTCAATTTTTCTGAATAACTTTTGAATAATTCCACTATAGTCGTGCCCTTCAGAAAAAGTTAAGCCAAGATTGGAGTGGAGACGGAGTATGTACAGTCTCCTCCCAGATGTTTATAGCCATCTGTTTTGAGCTCCACAGAGGGAACCCAAAAACTTCAAGTCACAAAAGTTTGTGGAATGGTGGAAAATGGGTTTCAAAGAATGAATATGAAAAAATAATAATAAAAAATAAGATTTTAAAATTTGTGAAAAAGATAAAAGAAAATCAACTTTTTTTGAAAACTTTAATTTTTTGTTTGAGTGAAAAGTGAACACACAGAGGGAAAGTTTGGAACATGAAAAGAATGATTATAAATGAAAAATATTGATCCAAAAAAAGTTTCAGCATGGTGGGTGGACACCCTGCAGTCAAAATCAGTAGATTGCAGTACCAGAATGCCACATTTCTTGATGAATGACCCCCTAGGCACCCTTTTTAAACCACCAAGTAGTCATTTTTTTCCAAATTTTCACTTTTTATCATTCATTCCAGACCTCATACTATCACTTTGGACATTTCATCTTTTCCTGAAAGAAAAATTGAGGCTGTCAGTTTTTGTGATTTTCTCCTTTTTACTTTTTACAAATTTTAAAATCTTATTTTTTGTTACTATTTTTTCATATTCATTCTTTGAGACCCATTTTCCACCATTCCACAAATTCTTGTGACTTGAAATGTTTGGGTTCCCAGTGTGGAGCTCAAAACAGATGGCTATAAACATCTGGGAGGAGACTGTACTTGAGAAAACAAGAACAGTGAGTGTGCCTGACAGTGACATGTAGGTCTAAGCTGTGACAGGTGGGGTCGATGTGCATCAGTGCTATAACATGCTCGTGACATTCCCAGTCGTCATCCACTGCTGTCTCCCAACCAAAGGCCTCCTTCAACCACCCACCATCTTCCTCACGAAGCTCTTGACCGCGAAAATCAAGCCACTCATGCCTAACCCGGACTCGTTTTGGATGGTGTCCTTCAGGCCAGGTACTATATCATCATCATCATCCGCAGATTTCTTAACTGAGCCGACTGCTGATTGTTTGTTGTATGTCCTTGCTTATACAGACTCTGAAGACACAGTATCAGAACTATCAGAAAAGCTAACCGGTATCACGACCATCAACGACTCAATCTCAGCTCCTTTCGCACATCTCGTCCTTCCGGAGTTCAAAGTAATCTTATCTCTCTCAGACTGCCCAAACTCAGCTCAAAGGAGGGCAACAAAAACTCACTGACCACTCTTTTCATCTGCTCTAGGTCCCTCCGCTATCCACTCTGATCAATTTGTCCGAAAATCTATCCAAAACTGAGTCCTTAACCAACCAGACCCTCCAAAAAATCGTCGAAACTCTCAAACTGCTCGCGAATTCTAAGCCCGCAGCTTTTGCACGTAAGAAAACCAACAACTCTAACTCGGGCGGACAGGCGGGCGAAGATGATAATTTGATTATGGAAGATGGAAGATCTTATGAAACTTATCTGTTCAAGAATTGGGAATGGAACCGAGGGAAGTACAATAGAGTCGAAAACAGGACTCTAGAGGATTTGGTCGAAGTTTTAGTCAAAGAAGTCACTCTGATCGACAACTCGCATAAACTCAAACTGGCCAGTTATAACCAAGCAAAAGCTCAGGCTAGTGCTTCACTGAGAAAGCGGACGTGAGTGATTCCACTCACATCAACTCATGCCATGACCTAGTATTTAACTGAAAATATTTTTCATTAGGGGCAACCTGTCAGTTAAAAGTTTAGCAGATGTGGTGACAAAGGAGAACTTTGTTTCCACTGATTCCGAATTCTTAGAAACCTTACTTGTTGCAGTGCCGAAGTTGGTCACCCTTGAAATCAATTCTGTTTTCCATTTCCACTGCGCTGGACTACTAACGTCTTGTTGGTTAATTTTATCATCCTTCTTCCTTTTTTTTGCCCTTCCCCCCCTGGATGTTCAGTAACCACGTGAAAGAATGGAACAATTCGTATGAAAGGCTAACACCACTAGTCGTACCAAGATCTTCGACGAAAATCGCACAGGATGAAGATTATACACTTTTTAATGTGACGGTATTCAAGAAGATCAAGGAAGAATATTCTCAAAAATGTCGCGAGAAGAAATTCATCGTCCGAGATTTTGTGTATGATGAAAGTGAAATCGAGAAAAGTCGCACTCAACAAAAAGAATATGAACAACACGAGAAAGAACTCTGGGTACGCTATTCATTCCTATGACCCTTTTGATTTTCCTGATGTTTCTAATGCTAATGTACTCTCTTTGTGTGTGTGCTACGGTCTGCAGTCGGAGCTACTACGACTATCTCGAATCAATTTTTCCGAGACTTTTCAAGTGATCGTCCATCTAAAAGTGATTCAAACTTATATCGAGTCCCTCCTAAGATATGGATTACCGGCACATTACTGTACTATCGTCATCAAGCCTGAACCGAAGAACCTCAAGAAAATCCTTCACCAACTGAGCTCCTTTTATAATTCACTTGAATCTAATACGAATGGCTCGACAAAAAATCAGAAGACCAAGTTAGACAAACACGTCAATGATCAAGATGAGCTTGTCGGTGGTGAATATGCTAGCGTTCTTGAAAAAGAAGTGTTCGATTTCGTTTTGTTTGAAATCTTTGACCCAAAGAGGAACTCTAAAGACCATTGAGTGATTGCTAGACTTATATCTCCATTTGTGTCTTTGAGATCCATAATTATATTTGAGGCTCTTCAACCGTTAGTTTCTCGATCATTGGTGTTATAATTTCTTCTAACTTTTCCCATCATTTGGGAGTTCTAACTTCCATGCATTTGTCTTTTTTTTTATATGCCTCTCCCGCAGCTTACAAAAATAAGTAAACAGTCATCATTTTCTTTTTTTCTTTCTCTGTGTTTTCATATTTGTAAACATATACTTCCAACTCCGGTTTCTTTTATTTATGATCCTTGCACCTCTCCTTCCAATGCCATCCATACAGTTCCTGTTTCAGCCTAGAGAGATTCTTATCAAGCCTGAAAATTCGTACTAGATTGTGGTTACTAGTGATTTGGATTGTGTAGAAAAATTTCAATGGATAATGTGTTCACTGGCTCACTCATGAAGCTACTGTCCTAACTCAATGCGATGGAGTATGTACCACTGTGAATTCTCACCAGAAACTGGGCTCTTCCGACAGATGACATGTTGGCCATTCTCATCAGAAGTCCCAAGATCACAACCTTAACTTATGAAGCTTGAATCACTTATTGCACATGCAATTCCTATCATAATTCCAGTTAATACTTTCAAATGTTCATCACCATTTTAAGGAGATAAGGAGATATTTGATTCTGCCACACATAAGTTCCAGGTATACAAACATCAACTATCACTAGATCCTTATCACTTCACAAAGCTACTACATAACCTACATCATCAACTCCTACAAAACATCATACTTGATAAAAAAAAAAGCTAAAACAGAACAGTAATCAAAACCCACACCAATAATACACTTCTGTTATCGCTTGATGGGAATGTAAATATGTGAATTAATCATGACTTTTTAAGATAAATGTCAAGAAAGCGTGTAAATTTAGTGTAAGTCTTGATGGTAAACCAACACCAATCAGAGTTAAATAGCTTGTTCTTCCAAAACTTCCCACAATCGATCTTGACTTTCGACTTCAATTTCCCCAAATGGCTCGGATTGGCTTAGTTTTAAACAATCTCTGGTCCCCAAGACCAACAGCTCAAAAAAGAAAGCAGCACCAGCTCGTCTGCTTGCCTGGAAAAAAAAGGGGGGGGGGAATAAATCAGATGTCTTCAAGCAATGTTTGAGACTTGGGAAGCGTGCTCACTTTATCGGACACTTCTTTGAATTTGAGCACGTCAGGTCCGTCTGCGAGTTCCGTCTTCAAGACCGTAAGAGCCTTGACAGTGTTCTTACTCCACTTGGTTCGATTTGCCGTTCCGGTCAGCTCGATTGACTCGACGGCTTGAGATTGAGATTGAGTGTCACCCGAGTCATCAAATACGTCCAACTTGGAAACTTCCCCTTCGGCCCTTTGACGTCGAACCTCTGGCTCCGCAGGTAATGGTGGGAGAGGCTGTTCGAGGTCGGCGTCAAATCTGGGCTCTTCATTAGGTTGTATCAGGTCGTTCGGTGCGGAGGATTCTTGCTCAGCATGGGACTTATCAGCCAGCTCGAATTGAAAACCGTCGTCTGCTCCGAACGGGGCTCCCTGGTCATCCTCTCGGTGGCCCATCAAATCAAAGGTCTCATCTCCCATGGTGTCAATCCGGCTGAAATCCCCCTCTCCGATTCCAGCACTGGGGGCTCGCCTGCCGTGTTCACTCTCCAGCTCTTCTCGTTCCTGTTCATCATCTCGAAGCCTCTTCATGCCTCGTTCGCGGACTGAAACCGCGCTAGCCTTGGCCGGGAACTTGAATAGTTCTTGTAGCTCTTTACACAGACCAGCTGGAGCGGCCATTAGCCAGCGTTCGCCATCAACATCCAAAAGTTGAGGTAAAAACTCATGACATGAGGGGTCGAGCATTATGCGATGATGCTGAAGTTGGTAACGATCTTTGGGTAAAAACCTAGGCGGATCCAGAGTGCTTTGGTGGTCGTTACCAGTGTTTAATGAAGAGGGGAGATGGTCGGCTGCTGCAAGCTCGGTGACACGATCAACCAGTTGATGCTTTTTCTTCTTTTTAGGTGGTTGTTGATCATCTCCCTCTGCTCCGACGGCTGGTGAGGTGAGGTGAGGAGCGAGATGATGAGAGGTACGAGGGGTAACATCAAGTTGATCGAGCATAGGGTTGGGCACAGGTGTTGTGGCACGGGGCGTCATCTGACCATCTAAGTCAGAATGAAGGGAAAAGTGAGATCAATACTTTCTCCTGAGTTTGAAGATATCGAAGCACTGTATATAATAAAACAAGTCTCACCACCTGCCCCAAGGTCTTGTTGGCCGTCTGCCATGGTGATATCTTGGATGCCCGTATCTTGGTTAAGATCAACACCAGGTTCCACATCTAGTCCGGTCGGTTCAAAGTCGGGCGCGGGGCCTCCAAGATCAAAACTAGTATCACCCATCCCGGACGGCACGTCATAGCTCTTGTCGACCGATAGATCACCCAGTTGTTCCGGTAATAAAGAATCCCGTGCACTGCGCCTGTCAGCCGTTCCTGGAGCATCACGACCCACTTCCATTTCCATGGTTTCATCAGCTAGCTGTCCTTCTTCCTCAATGGTGGAACCGTTGCGTGTTTGGCGATTTCTTCTGTGTGCTCTAGCTTCCGAATCTAAGCCTTCTGTTGCTGAAACGAGGCCGAGGTCGAGTGGATCGGCATCGGCCATCAAGTTCATATCATCTGATCTTAAATCATCCAGCCTTTCTTCCGACTGATCGCCGCCAAGCATGAAGGACTGATGCTCAGTCAAAGTGATATCGGCAAGATTACCGTCAATTCTCGACCTACTCGTGCTGACGATTGGAACGATATCATTAGTCCCATTCGCTTGATTGACGTCCTCCCAGCCGTCTCCAAAGCCATAGCCGAAACCTTCACCAAACTCGAGCTCAAAATCAAACAAGTCTCGGTTGGCAGCACTTCTGAGATTGATCGCATCACGCCCGGTGACATTAGGTTGAGCTGGTAAGATGAGATGGTCTTCCCCAGCCGGTTCATCGATCATGGACTGAATGGTTTCTGAACGAAAGGCGGAGCGGATCTTATCCGAAGCTTCGCTACAGTCCTCAAGGAGATATTTGGCTTGCTTGCTGTAGATTCGGGCTATTCCGAGTAACAGTTGGCCAGAGAGACGAAGGGCCAAGGGAGGAGCAGAGACCATCGTAGAAGCAGGCTCGAGGATGACGGTGACAGTGCTTGGGATGGAGGTTTGAAGGGTTTGTGCTTTTGAGACTTTGCGTTCTACATGGGCAGCCAGCCAAACCTGAGTGGTATTAAAAACAGTTAACCAGTTGATAAATCCATGTGAGGTGAGGTAGCGAATCAAAGACAAACCTTAGCCAGTGGCCCTCGCTTGGAGAGCATCTCGGAAGAAAAAAACATCTTGGAATAGGAAACCCTGAGTGAATTGAACGTCAGTCGGGGTTACAGATCTTTCCTCTCTATCGTTCCAGTGGTTTGGTAATGATGTCTGAGTTTGTATCTGATGGTTGGTTGGTCGTGGGTATTGGCGTTGGTGTTGAGCTGCCAACTGATGGTCAACAGCCAACCAGTCGACTCCGAACACAGTCACCTGGAGGCTCGAGCGCGGCGCACGACACAAAGAGACGCGCCAAACTTGCAGACAAACGCGCGCTCGCAGCACTGCATACGCATACAAAACACACATTGTGTACATAAATAAATGCTATAGAATATCATCCATTCCCTCTTCCGCCAGGGAGGAAGGTAGATAGGGCGTGAGATGTCCCGGCCTTAACCCAGCTCGGATTACCGGAGGGGTGGGGCCGCTACGGTAGTAGGCGCATCTCACGCTTCCTTGACTTCTGACACATTCTAGGATGCTCAGGCCCCTCGCCGGGAGGCCCGTGTTTTGCATCCTGGCTACCCCGGGAGCTACTTTTTGCAGCCCCCCAAGGCCGCCGTGTATGGGTCGAGGGAAACGTCTGTTCCTTCTGGTCGAACTGCAGACCAGTTCGAGTCCAGAGAGAGGACGCTTCCGAGCAGATAGGACAAGGAAAGCTAGTGAAGGAGAGAGGGGGATCGGTGCTAAGCCCAACCACTCTGGCTCAACAGGAGCCTGAGCCCTTGTGGCGAACCCCCTAACTCGTGGTGTAGCTAGAGTCCTATTGTCGACCTTATTTTGTTCATTGCATGTAGGTCAAATCTGGCGTAACATCTTCTTCGCCTCTGCTTTCTCGGCCGCGGAATATTGTCGAATGTAGAGTTTATAGCAATCTGATACCCAGCGTCCCAGCTGGCATATCTCCTCGGTCGGGACCCCCATCGCAAATCTGAGAGAAGCTCCACCCACTCTAAATGAGTGTCCTGACAATCCCTGGAATTTCCCTTCCTTCCAGGCGTCTCGGACCGCCGTTACGACCATGTTACGGGTGAGGTGGTACCTTTTCCCCTCCATGTAGAACCCGAAGAGCGAGGTTTCTTTTTGGAGGCACTCGTCCAGTCTGCGGCGTATGGCCCTCACTGGGCAGAGGGGGTTATTGAGGCTCCGAAGCTGGATGGTCTGTGTTTCTCCTGGCGCGCAGGTTTTTGCGTTTCTTAAGACCAGGGTTGCCACTTCGCCTTGGCTTGAGTGTTCAAATTGTATGTCCGAGGTCAACAAGGACCTTGCCTTTGAAATTTGGCCCGATTCCGTTGGGTAGGTTAGTTCTGCCAGTCTAGCCATTCCCCAGAACGCCGTCAGTGCCAGATCACGGATGGCTTCTGCTTGCGGCCCTTTCCCTTCTAGGTGTTTGTTGAGGAATATCAGATGTCGGATCTGCACTGCCGCTTTCTTGGGCTTGTCCGGTACTTGCGCGTCTATCTTCGCTGAGGATTTGAGTAACGTTGACACTTTCGATTTGGACTCTTTGGGGTACGGCTGCGAATGGTACTCATGCCACGCCTGGATACCGTATAGGTACTTTTCTACTGTGGTCGCTTTTATCTCTTGCGTGGTCTGTTGCTCTTCGTTCCTTCCGGCCCAAAAGAAAAATTGGTATATGTCGTCCGCTGAGGCGGGTAACACAAAAGGTAGCCTGTTTGTTTCCGTTCTGTGCTTCATGAATTTCTTCACCGCGGCATTATAGCTTACAATCGTGTTCCATTTGAATCCTTTAAGGTAGTGGATGTCAATTGCCGTTGGTTCCCTGGGGCTCGATCCGTTTGCCAGGAAGGCGGTGAGCTTGCTTAGGTCTAGGGAGGCCATTCTTCTGTTATCGATTGCTGTCTGAGCTGTTCTCTATTTTCATTCAAAAGGATGGGGGCTTCTTTGCCGTCATCCCTTGATCCTCACTCCGCTGGTAGTCGGGACTCTCTCCCTGTCACGTGTGCCGTGATGGTTTGGGGTGTAAATGGGTGTAAAACATGTTTCAAATTCCGGTTTCATATGATAAAGAGTCACAAGACAGATGGAATACAAGAGCAATTGGTAGCACGGGTTAGAATGGGGAGATGAGTAACAAATCAAGGTCTGGTGGCAGGATCAGCGGAATGAAATCTCGCATGCTGTGTCCCGACATGTCCCCTCTTGACAGTGCATCCGCCCTATTATCTTTTGAGGTCACGCGTTTTGCTGACAGGTCTACTTGCATGTCTATGAGGAGGGACTGTATCCGCTTCCACTCTTCGTTAGCTGCCCAGTCTTTCGACTTCCTGTTGTGAACTGCGTTTTCTGCGGTCGTATTGTCGGTCCAGACGATAAAGGACTTCCCGGGGATTGCTTTCATTTGCTTCAGCATAAGGAGTCCTACTCGTATCGCTGCGGTTTCCAGCCAGGCAATTGACTTCTTCGGTTCCACCCCTGTGTCCCAACCTGCAACCGCTTTCAACTGCGTCCACTTCTTCCCTATGACTACTCCGATCCCGAAACTTGTCGATGCATCGCCGACCCATCCCACCTCCGTTGGGTTTGGGTTAGGCAGGAGTCTGGTCTCTGAGAACGTGGTGAGTGTGTGCAACCAGAACGATAAGTCTTCTTTTGCGTCGACTGGGGTGTTTCTTGGTGCCATCGAGAATTTCCAGGACTTGAGCCATCTGTAGATTGAGCACAAATAGCATCGGAGTTGCGGAAGTATGAATGTGACGTGGTTTAACCGTCCAGCCAATGCCTCTACATCCGTGAATGAGCTTGATGCCCCGGGTTCCAGAAAGACTTTGATTTGTTCTATCCTTTTCTGGATTTTCTCTGCCGGTAATCTGACTGTCATCGAGGTTCCGTTCCACAGGAAGCCAATGAATTTCTGTTCCTCTTGGAACGGAGAGAATTTGGTTTTGTTTGTTTTCACTCCAAGAGTGTTTGAGTGGTCCACAATGTGCTTCATGGTGACTTTGGATCCCGGTGTCTTGATGAATAGGTTGTCATCCACCCACCTGAACACTTCGAGCAGGTCGAATTCCGCCTTCATTATGAGTTTCCAAGCGTCTGCTGGCCTGCCGAAGGACCCGCACCCCGCTACTCCTCCGAACGTTATTCTAGTGTCGAGGATGATTTTATCATCAAAATCTTTTATCATCAAATACGGCCATTGGTCTTTCGCTGTTGGGATTTGCCGATATGCTTTCTCCCAGTCGAAAATGGCAAGGAGCACTGGCGATTTTAATTTCCGGAAAAATGATGCTACTTTATTGAAGTCATCCCAAGATGTTGCGAAATCATCTGCGTCCACGAAGGAGTTCACTGATGGGACACCGTCTTTGCCGTGTGGATATGATAGGTCATTTATTGGCCTTAGTGAGCCATCTCCGTTGATCACCGCTCCTAGCGGATTTGTTCGAAAGAAAGGGAATACTTCATTCACTTGGTCTTTCTCGAACGGTCCGAACATCCGACCGGCCTCCAGCTCTGTACAAATCGATTTCTGAATTTTGTCTTTAGCCTGAAGGGCTGATGCGTGGTTTGGTGGGGTAAAATGCGGTTGGTCCCCTATTCTATGTTGGGGAATCCCTTGGTCGAAACCGTTAACAAAGCCATCTAAAACGTCTTGGAACTCAGGTAGCAGGTCCGCCTTGCGCAGCGCCTCCTCCCACGCCTGGATATTCATCTCACAAGATACTTTTGAAGGCCACCCTTTCTCGTGTGTTTCATGGTCTTCTTCAGGGTCTCTCTCGGGTATTTCCACTTGCCAGGTGGCTCGTGGACTGGTTAACAAAGACCCGTGGTATTGGGTGTTGAAGTTTTTACTTTATTTTATTCAAATGAAAAAACAGGCTGGCATAAGTGACTAAATACAATACGTTTCTAGCGGTTGTTTTGACTACGTAGATGAAGGATCGTGACATGAGAGGGGAAGGAAAAAGGGAAAGAAAAGACATGAAGGTGGGGGTTGCGGAGTTGGGGTTGGGATGTAGGGATTAAGGGTGTTGAATGAGTGACTTGCTACTCAGTTGAACAAAGGTTTCGGGAATCATTACTTACGAATTAGAACTTAAGACCATTTGTCCGCCTCCCTGGCTGGGCGGTTGTTGGTTTCCTCTCCGTTGATCTTGATAACTCGGGTTGAAATTCTTCCCCTTGTATCCTCCCTTGTTTCCGTTCCCTCTAGCGTCTTGCTGACGTTGTCCTTGGCCGTGATTATTGCCGAGTTGGGCTTGGTTTGGGGGGTAGTGGTTCGGGATGGGTGAATTGTACCCGTAGTGGTACTGGCCGCCTGGGTAGAAACCTTGGGGGTACCCTGGATTGAACTGGCCGTAGCCTGGGGCCCCTTGATATTGGGGCGGCTGAGAAGGTGGTTTGACGAAAGCTGTTTTCCCGGGCTTTGGCAGGCACGTCAGGGGATCCAGGTGTGCCCTTGGTCCCCCTTGCGCGTAAGGGTTGATATCTCTAAACCCCAGCTCATCGAAGTTACGCGCTTCCGCGTAGCAATCTTTGGCGATATCGGTTCGAAGCACCGATATGTCTGGTACCGACGGGTCGCCGTTTACCACCACTCTGTGGGCGAATGCGTTCGTCCTGAGTTGGATATCGTACCTCAGTGCGGCCATAAACCCGTGTTGTGTTTGGATCCGGTCGCAATTGGCTTTGTGGTCTAGGAGCCAGCCCCCGAAGGTCGGGAAGCCGTAGATGTTCAGCAGGGAGAGGTGAAAAGCTCGGTGGTTGATGGTCCAGTCGCTGAAGGACTGCTCCCACTCGCTTTGGAATTTCAGGCCGGTGTATCGGTCTTTCGTTTCTGAGCTATCCTCCGATTTTGAGCGTTTGTCGGTGTGGAAGAGTACCGCCGCGTCTTGCCATTTCTTGTTGAAGATGGTGAGTGGGAGCGGGCCTTTAAGCTCCTTCATGTTCTTGTCAAAGAACGTTGGGAGGCCCATATCGCGGAAGGTGTTGACTCCTTTACCGTAGAAAGAGAGGCCGCCTTCCTTTATTTGGGGGTTGTCCGACTTTATGCCGATCATCGCCGTCGACTTTTGTGGTATGAGCTGGATCTCTTGCTCCGGGTGAGTTGGTCTGGGCTTCTTGGCTCTGAGCTCGGCCAATAAGTCGAAGAACATGTCTGCGCGATCGGTGTCGCCGTTCTTCTGGGCTGCCATAGCTTTTTCTAAGAGGATGCTCTCTTCGCCTCCGTCGGTTGGGGCGTCGGCATCTCTCGCTCGTTTTTGGCTCGATTGTGATTTCTTGCCTGTTCGTTAATGGATATGCTTTTCGTCAGTCTTTTGCTGCGTCTCGGTTTTAACCAGGTTCCTCCCGGTTTTTTTTTTTTTTTTTTTTTTTTTTTTTTTTTTTTTTTTTCTTTTCCTTACCTTGTTTTGGTGCCGCTCTCAACAGCCCCAGTATCTCTTCTGGCTCTTCGTCTTGGTCCTCGTCTGGGGATTCTTCCTCCTCCTCCTCATTCCGGATTGCTTTGGCTGGTGGTTTCTCGGCTATAGAGGATAGCCTGGACTTTTTTGAGGATGCGATCGTCCTACCGGTTGCTGCTTGTGCGAGCGTCGCATTTTGTGAGGTAACCCCTTGTGGGCCGAGGTTCTGCGTTTGTTGCAAGCCAGGTGTGTTCGTGTCTTCTGGCGACTCGTTTTGCGGGCCGGGTTCTTTACCCTGGTTGGCTGCTTGTTTTCCTTGGTTAGGTTCGCTCATTTCTAGGTGACGGAAAGACGAGTCATTGGTTAGCTACTGTTGCTATTTCCTATCAATTTACTCTGTGCGTACCTTTTGTTACGTGGCTACTGCTTTTTTTTTTTTTTTTTTTTTTTTTTTTTTTTCAATGGGGATCGATTGGGTTTATTGGGGTTATTGAGTTGTTTGGTTTTATTGGGGTTGGGAATGAGAGGGACTTTGTGTTGACAATTCCGCGTTCGCTGTAATAAGCTTGTTCGGTCGGGTTTTGAAAAGAAAGTTTTTATGTGTTCTTAGGATCTATTTAGGAACTTTAGACACGAGGTTCTATGGTTGTAGCTTATGAATTTGTAAGGAAAAAAAAAAGGTTAGAGATTTCTAAGATTGCGAAAAAAGGATCTCTAGCGGATAGAGGGATAGGATGCAGACGAGGAGGTAGGAACTCGTATGCTGAGGGGGAAACAGCGAGCGGGGAGTGCCCAGGTATACCTGTTTCTCCTGCCTGCCGTTTCCCTCCAACGACAGCCGGCTCTATCGGCGGAGATACCGCTGGTGGTGTACGCTAGCACGTGGGTGGGCGTAAGCCCTGCGCCGGCTGTCGGGTAGCTTCCTAGATGCTACAGCTCCATGGACACCGGTGAACTCTTGGCTGCGCCCTGCCGTACACCTACCATGCATTTCAAGAATGAAGGTCACTTTTCTGCTCGCAACCACAACACAACCCACCTTACGCGTCGATTTCACAATATTCACCACACCACCCCCTACTCACCAGAAAAGTTTCTCTCCTCCCCACCCCTTCCTCTTGGGCAGCCTATGCTCCCCGCTCACCGCCCCCCCGATCTCAACCAACCATCCGTCGCGTCTCCCAAGGACGGTCCGGCAATGATGGAAGATGTGGAAGTCCTTCTTCCCCAGCGCCCCGCCACCAAACCCCCGTCATCTAGTCTTCATATTCTACTGACTAAGGCCCTCGGCGACAGCACGACTCGCGACGCGAATGGTGCGGTCTTACTGGATGCCAAGTTTGTCGATCTTGTTCTCGACCTGTCGGCCAACAACGATCGATTGATGCAACGCTTGGAAACCACGGTCGATCAGCTCAACGACAGATATGACTCAGTGGTAAAGAGACTGGCGGAAGTTGAGGCCATTTTGAAGGCTGGCCCCAGACCGATCGCTAACGCCGGCCCCAAACCAAACTCGACTAAATCATTTGCTGCTGTGGCCTCCACGACCCTTGCTGGTTCCATTCATGCGCCGACTACGCGCCCACCACCCGCCAAAACCATCGCATCCCTGAAGCCGAAGCGAGTAATTATTCACTCGAACCCAGCTAGCACCGCCCTCAAGAATGTACCCAGTTGTGCCCTAGTCCAAAAGGCAAATGACACGCTCCTGGGACTTGAAGCAAAAGTTGACGACGAGATAGTAGCCATTCGCGGGGCTAGCGTGTTACCGTCCGGCGATGTGTCTTTCTACACGAAGAATAGAGCTCACCAAAAATGGTTAATGGACAATAAGCACATATGGTCGAAGGCCGTTCATCCGGATCTTGAAGCTACTCCAAGCACTTTCTCAGTCATGACACACGGTGTTCCCAAAACTTTTGATATAAGCAAACCTGCAAACTTGGCCCAGCTCGCGTCCGAGAACAATTTCCAGGCCACCGACATAGCTCGTGTCCGATGGATGGGATCAAACGAACCATCTGAGAAGAAGGCTGGCTCTATTGTCTTGTCGTTCACCAACAAAGACCTCGCTCTCCGGATCGAAAAATCAGGGATTTTCTTAAATTACGACTTTCATCGTACAGATTGCTTCAAGCCCCGCCCTCCTCAATGCTTCAAATGCCTAAGGATGGGCCATTTCGGGAAATGGTGTCGGGAATCAGCAAGATGTGCAAAATGTGCCGGCAATCACTCAACAAATGAATGCCCTGAAGGCATAGGGGGAGTCAAGTCGTGCATTCTCTGCAAAGAAGGCATCAAGAAGAAGACTGAAGGTATCACTGATGTGGACCACACGCCGTTTAACCTAGCCTGTCCGTATAAGAAGGCCTGGTTTGAGAAGAAACCTTTCCCGCCCCAATGTTAGGTACACCCTCAGAAACACGCGACCGTCACCTCATCAATCAACCCTCATCCATCTCTGAACCTTTTCAAACCACCCAATCCCATCCTGATTTAACTGACAATCTCAGACAGGTTTTTGCGGCGTCGCCATCTATCTCGACTTCTGCCTCCAATGCTTTCTCCTTCCTTCATCTTAATTGCCATGTTTCAAAAGAAGTCACACTAAGCCTTTTAAATTCTTCTTTCTCTTATGATTTTCTTTTACTTCAGGAACCCTGGGTCAACCCGTTTGATCGTTGCCCCCCACAACATTCGGCTTGGCGGACGTATGTGGCATATGAACACTCACCGACATGCTGGAATGAGAGACACAAGGCAATCATCTATGTGCGGCGATCCATACCTTCAGAGTCAATAAGACTTCTGGAAGGTGGCTCGCAAAATCTCGTTGGAATAGAAGTATCACTTTCCGAGAAAGTGTTCCAACTTCTGAATATTTATAACCCCCCCTCAACTTTCTCCTCTGTCATGGAACTCAAGAACTGGCTGACACTCAATTACTCTCGGCAGCACACAGTGATTATATCCATGGACGCAAATCTGCACCATCGTCACTGGAACCCTCCAGGGTGTCAAAAGGTCGAGCCCAAAGCACGAGACATGCTAAGTTTTCTTTCGATCTTTGGTTTCCGTCTAGCTTCTCCAAAACATGTTCCAACTTTCTATTCATCAAAAGGGAAGGGAACTACTATTGATTTAATATGGGCCAATTTCCTAGGTTCAAAATTGATCAAGAAGATCTCGGTCTCAAATGAGAATTTTGGTTCAGATCACCAGGCGCTACAGGTCCAACTTTTGATCAAACGACCCCCTCCCCCCTTTCGTTGGAAACTCCCAAAATGGGCGGAGCTTGACAAGAAGAGACTGGAATCCATATCTTCTAAGTTATCGGCTATGACTCACTTACCACAGGAAGCCCCTGATAGACAGGCTGACCTTTTGACTAACTTCCTCAAACAAGTCCAGGAAGGACTTGGTCGCCGAGTCAGAAACAACGAAGCCAAGGCTAAACCGTGGTGGTGCAGCAAGACCCTGGACCCGGTGCTCCGAACACGCAATCGTGCTCGCCAGTGGATGATACTAGCTAAGTCTCCCGAGGCTATTGATTGTTACCGTCAATGGAATGATTATTTTTTAGCTTTGGTCAAATCACTCAAACAGCGCAATTGGAGACGCCTTCTGGAAGACCCATCAGAAGGAGATCTCTATCGAGTCCTCAAGTTCACTTCAAGGACAGCTGGGGGGGAGGTCCTCCCACTCAAAGGACCAAATGGAGTGGTTATTCATGACAAAGGACAACAAGCTAAGTTATTGTTCGAAGGAACTTCGGTCACAAACACACCGATTGATCTCTCTGACGCTCAGTCTGACCTTTCTTGTAGATTTGTTAGTTACCCTCAAGTCTCGAATGAGGAGGTCCTGTCGGCAATTCGGAGGATAAGCCCTAAGAAGGCCCCGGGGATTGACGGTCTGGCAAACGAACTTCTTAAGTCTCTAGCCATTCCCCTAGCCAATAAGCTGGTAATTTTATATAATACCATACTTACCAAAAGCAAATTTCCTGCTGCATGGAAGGTTGCTGTCACCACTATAATTCGCAAACAAGGAAAACCTGACTACACAAACCCCGCCGCTTACCGCCCGATTGCGCTCCTTAGCACCATGAGCAAGCTCTTTGAGCTCATCTTGGCCAGACGGCTCACAGACTGGGCGGAGGAAACAGGTCTTTTAGCCGATGGCCATTTTGGAGGCAGGAAAGGATCGGGAACGGAAGACGCCCTCTTTGCTTTTGAACACTGGGTTAAATCAAAATGGAGGGAAGGGAAGACAGTAGCGGCTCTTTTCCTTGACGTGAAATCAGCCTATCCCTCCGTGCATCCCACCAGGCTGATCCACTATCTCTTTCAACAGAAATGCCCGACCTACCTGGTGCTGATCATTGCAGATTTTCTCAAAGACAGGTCTACGACTGTCAGGCTAGACGATTTCGTATCTGAAGCTTTCCCAATTCAGATCGGCCTCCCACAGGGCTCTCCTTTATCGGTCATTCTTTATATATTATACAATAACTCATTGCTGAAGAAGTCTTTTTCGACCGCCACAGATACAGTATCAATCGGCTATGTAGATGATGTCGTTCACTTAGTAGCGGCGGACTCAGCTGAGGCGGCAAAGTTAGGATTGATGGAAGAGGGCAGACGCTCACTGAAATGGGGTGATTCCCACGGAGCGATCTTTGATCGAGCCAAAGCCCAATTTCTATGGCTCACAAAAGGAAAAGTACCGGACGGCGATTTTATGTTTGGAACCCAACGTTTGAAGCCGATGTCAGAAGTTAAATGGCTGGGGGTTTGGATTGATAAAAAACTGCTTTTCAATCACAATTTCAAAATATTGGAAGAAAAGGCACATAAAACCCTCAACCAGCTGAAGATATTTGGCAACTCGCGTTGGGGCGCAAAAGAAAAAGATAGGGCAAAAATGGTCAGAAGTGTGCTTTTCCCCAGAATTCTCTATGGGGCAGCCCTGTGGGCCACCAAACCTAACAGAGGAAAAGTAGAAGCCTTGGCAAATAAAATAGACCGGCTTGCAGGGATCTTCACGTTAGGGGTATTCAAATCAACGTCAAGTAATTTCATTCATTCAAGATCCATCGTTCCAAAGTTTGCTAACGAAGTCTTGAGAACAAGCTTCTCTTTCTTCTATAGGAAAATGGTGGTGATTAAACCCAACAATGTCATCCGGTCGTTCATTCTGCACAGCAAAGCGGACACGGCGGCAAGTTTTCAGGACTCTGCAAGAACTGGTATTGCAACAAATGAAGTGGATCAAGCAATTGGTTTGGACCCGGAAAATATTTGCCTCTCGTTTGACTTTGGAAAACCGCCACCCCGGAAGCTTGAATTCCTTAACCTGGAACTAACTAAGGAGCTTGCAACCGATTCTGTTAAGTCCTTAGTCTCGTCTCATGAAAAAAACCCTTTGACACTACTGATCTTCAGTGATGGGTCTTATCACCCCGATAGGGGAGGGGCTGGTGCGGCTGTTTGCCCATCATTAAATGTTTTCAGCGCCTACAACTTAGGCGTTAATTCAACAGTGTCTAACCATGAATGTGAGGCTGTGGGACTTCTGGCAGCACTTGGGTTGGCTAAGATGTTATGTATGGTGTCAAACAGGCAACATGTCATAATTTTCGTGGACAATCAAGGTGTTATCAAAAGGATCAATGACTTATCTGCCCCTAAACCAGGACAGTGGATTTTCAAGGAGATCGGAAAAGCACTGTTGGACATTCCACAGGATTTGAAAATCTCCCTTGTATGGTGCCCTGGACATAGGGACGTTCTGGGAAATGAATTGGCTGATCAATTAGCTAGGGAAGCGGTTGAGTCCCCCTCATCGCAACATTTAACAGTAAAAGGAAATTACAAGAAAATCCATAGGCAGGCCTTGGCAGGGCTTTCGACAAGAAATTACATCCCCTCCAATCTCCCAATTGCTTTTAGTTCCTTGATAAATCAACTAGCTTCAGGCCACTGCACACTGAAAGGTTATCTTTTTCGTATTTGTAGGGCTTTTGATCCTCTATGCCCCAAATGTGGGGCCCGAGAAACGGTTTTTCATCTAATGAACTTCTGCCCTCAAGCCAAGAAACAGCGGACAATACTCAGGAGAAGGTTGCGACAACTTCGAATTCGTTTTCCGGTGGATAGACTCGACAAAACCCTCAACATCCGAAAAGCTGAAATAGCTTTAGCAACCTTCCTTCAAGACTCACAGCGATTTTCCGATCAATTATCTTAATTCTTTGTCTTCATTCTTCTCTTTATTTTTGTTTCCTTCTATTTTCTTTATTTTCTTTTGCCGTACATGTCATCATTCCCAGGCCCCCTCAAATAACACTAGCATATTGTAGTAGTGTTCGATTAAAAGGTTGTACTCTTCTCTGTCACATGGGTGTTACTTAAATTCATAGTGTGCAATGCCATAGGCCAAATTACACTTTAAAAAAAAAAAAAAAAAAAAAAAAAAAAAAAAAAGAATGAAGGCTGGACACCAGGGGGGATCACAAACCTGTATCCTATGGAGGACTTTCATATCAGCTCGATAGGGCATTTTTAATGGGTAGGAAAGACAACTGTGCCTAATCCTCAATCTCATTGATAAGCATACTTGCACATCATACTCGGCTAGAAGATTCTGGAAGTGAACAACAGGAGCGCGTCTCGTGGGCAAAATGGGAGGGGGGAGGAGATGAGGCTCTCAATCATGCGTGCATGATCAGGTTGTAGCTGATTAAGTGCGATTCATGAGTATTGTCAGTCATTCAAATGTATGTACCTCAAATTTCGAACAACCGATCTCTAGTGGTAACGATAGGAGCATAAACTCAATAATTGTGAAAAATTAACAGCTGATGGATGAATCGATCGAGTACATGTATTCTTACGACGAAACAGATTGAGTAACTAAGTTTGAAAGAAACGGAAGCGTGATGGATCTTAATCCGAGGAAGATAGCGGTGTCGTGTCCGAGCTCCTAGGAATTCATCAGCTGAGGAACGTGTCGAGTAGATCAGCAGACGCACACAATATCACTGGTATCACCGGAAACCTAGCAGAACATACACACGTTTGGAGTTACATCAAAAAAAAGAATCCACAGCGGTAGGGGCCTTGCTGAAGCCACCCCAGGTCCCGAGGAAGGCCGAATTTATGCTATTCATTGGACCATCCAGAGCAGCTTCGGTAGCAGTCCTATGGGCGCTAGCTATGTTGTTAGCTGTGGCACCGAGGCCACTGGCAGCCGTGGTGCTTCCAAGGCCGGGGACCAGTCCCAGCCCAGGGATGCTGCGGACGAACGGCAAGGTGCTCATCGCTGGCAGGCTTGGCATACCGGGGATGTAGCCAACAAACGGCATGTTGCCGAGAGCTGACGTCGGCGAGGGCAAACTAGGCAGTGTAGAACGTCTACGAAGGATCCCACTAAGTTTGGAGCCTAGGTCGGAGGCCATCGACTTCGCTTTAGTTGTGAATCCATCGAAAACTCCCACTTCACCAATCAGTGGTAAGCTAAAGCGCTTCTTGAGTGGCGATTTTCCAAACAAGCCATGCGTCTCAAGGAGGGAATCTCTACCGTTGTATCCAGAGAGGGTTAATAAGTCGCCAGATTTGGAGCCTTCGACCAAACTGTCAGGTTTTGAGACTTCGAGCACCTCAGCAAGTTTGGAACCTCCGTCTGGACCGTCAGTCGTGAGCAATCCAGCGCTGGCGCCATCCTTGAATTCTCCGAGTAGACCGTTGGTCAATTGACCCGCGACAGGAACACCCTTGATGGTGTGTGTCAGGCCGCTGAGGGGCTGGAGGTTGGTGCTCAGCAGCCCGCCATCCAGGCCGAGGATCGGGGCAGACTGAGATTGGCCCGCTGAAAGTCGAGAAGCTCAACATCAATCTTCTCATCAACTCGTGGAAGGCGAATGTGGTAGATCTAGCTTACCAAGTAAAATGACGGTAGAAACCAAGGAATAGGATACACGCATGATGGTGTGAAGTTGAACAAAAAATTGATGATGATAATGTATTAAATGTCAATGAGGGTATGGTAAGTAAAAAGCTTGATTCGAGTATTGGCTGGTAGGTTAGAACTTAGGGAGATTAAAAAGTGAATGGGCTTATAAGGCGTTGACGAATCGTGCGAAGTCAGCAAGGCTGCAACGAGAAAAATCGACAGCACTATGTATATGTGGTAATCATCTGGAAATCCGACCACGCAGTCGGCGCTCAGGCTGATGGCGACCCCAAGGGTCTCCCAGTGAAGGAAACAACTCTTTGATAGGGTGGTCTTGCGCGTTCGCTCGACCAGTTTGCGTGGATTTACTTATCGAGTGTCGACGATACTATATTGCATTGCAGCCCAGATGTTGACCAAAGAGTACTTGAAGTTGATCCGATGAGAATCTTGAAAGGGGTTGGTCAAATTCTATCTGATCCATCCATGATCGTCAAAGCAAAGTAACCAGCGATTGAATGAAAGACATTCGTGTCATCTCACTAGATATTTACGTCTTTTTTTCTAGGTAGAAATGTTTTTCGAAATTTTCTTCAAATCGTTTTGAAGTTGTTGTAAACAATTGTTTCCCACACTTTTTTTTTCTTTTTTTTCATGGAAGAAAGAAAATAATGATACCTGAAGAAATTTCAAGTAACCTCCTTGAGGGTTGTTTGAAATCGGAAAGAAAGAAATCCTCAGTTCTTCTTTTTTGAATAAAGTATTTACGGCCTGCACCCAGCTTTGCAGTCCACGATGAATACCACCTCAACCATCCGATTCGCCACCCTTTGGAATTGTCACCGACTTCGAAATCACTCGGTGAGAAAATCCACATGCGAGCCAACTGGTTTGCCTTTGTCTGATCGGATCGATGGGAGCTATGTATGGACGATCAAAAACCAGCCAGCCGGCATTTATGATAGCCAGTACAAGATGGGCTAACCTGCGCCAACCCGAAACTCCAAAGTGAACTCCCCTTATATGCACCACGCTTGGTTGGGAGGGAGCATGGGCCTGTCATGTTGTATGTGGATGACACGTCTGATAGAGCAATTGCAGACGTGGATTCTGTGCTTTCATATTCCGCGCTATGGAGGCCCCGCACATAATAATCAAAAGGCGGCTCTATGATTCCACCGGTTTTGAAATGTTTTGGAACACTTTTTCGGAATCGCAAACCGCCTGAAATCATAACGATTGTAGCTATGTTTCAAAGAGTGTTAAAATAAACTATCTCTAATTACAACGATATTTCGAGTACAATCTCAATAATGCAAATTGACTGCTCAGACATGAAACGATCGGGTATGCTTGTGGTGAAAAAGGTTAAATAGCTATATAAATATGTTTGGAAGAGACTTGATGATTGGAAACTAATCAGTGCAAGGTGTCGCTTGAAGGCGTGATAGGTCATGATTCGAAAATAGATGGTGGTGTCGTGCTTCAAGGTCGGGGGAATCCGTCAGCTCAGCTGAGAAATGAGTTATGTAGATCAGCGGGAGGACAGAAATATAATGGGATACAAACAATAGATACGCACGTGTGGGTGTCCTTTTCAAGAAAGGAATCCACAGAGGTGGGAGCATTACCCACGCCACTCATGATCCCAATGAAAGCTGAATTTATGCTGGTGTTTATGCCATTCATTGGGCCATCCAGGGCAGCTTCAGTAGCGTTCCTGTGGGCACTAGCTATGCTATCGACTGCAGAACCGATGCCACTGGCAGCCGAGGTGGTTCCAAGGCCGGGGATGAGTGCCAATCCAGGGGCGCTGCGGACGAACGGCAAGGTGCTGATCGCTGGCAGGTTGGGCGCACCGGGCATGTAGCCGATAAACGGCATGTTCCTGAGAGCTGAGATCGCCGAGGGTGAACTGGACTGTGCAGTACGCCTGCGAAGGATCCCATTGAGCTTGGAGCCTAGGTCGGAAGCCATAAACTTGGCTTTAGTTGTGAATCCATCGAAAACTCCCACTTCACCAATCAGTGGTAGGCTAAAGCGCTTGTTGAGTGACGATTCTCCCAACAAGCCATGTGTGTCAAGCAGTGAGTCGCTGCCATCCTTTCCAGGAATGGTTGATGATTCGCCAGATTTAGAGCCTTCGACCAAACTGTCAGGTTTTGAGGCTTCGAGCACCTCAGCAAGTTTGGAACCTCCGTCTGGACCGTCAGTCGTGAGCAGTCCAGCGCTAGTGCCATCGTTGGATACTCCGAGTAAACCGTTGGTCAGTTGACCCGCGACCGGAACCCCCTCAATGGTGTGTGTCAGGCCGCCGAGGAGCTGGAGGTTGGTGCTCAAAAGCCCGCCATCTAGGCCAAGGATCGGGGCAGACTGAGATTGGCCCGCTGAAAGTCAAGGAGACCAACATCAATCTTATTTCCCTATGGAATGTGAATGTGGCAGAGCTAGCTTACCAAGTAAGATGACGGTAGAAACCAAGGAGCAGGATACACGCATGATGGTGTGAAGTTGAACACCAGATGGATAATGACAATGTCAATTTAAATGAGGGTATGGTAAGGTGAAAAGTTTGTCATTCAAGTATTGGCTTGAGGGTTAGCGAGATTGGAAAGTGAACAAGCACATAAGGCGTTGACGGCTCTTGCACGGCTGAGCCTGCAATGAAAAGATTTGAATGCACTGTGTGATGATCATCTGGAAATTCCAACCAACTTGTCGACGCTCAGGCGGATGGCGACCCCAAGGGGCTCTCAGTGAAGGAAACAATCTATCATGAGTGATCGAGGTGGTGCGCGCTCGCTTGCCCAGTATGCGTGGATTTACCTATCGCTTGTCGACGATACTTATGTATTGCAGCTGCCCAGATGCTGACCATGGACTACAGGCCCAGATCATTTGACTCGATCACAATCTTGAACGGGCTTGGCCAGATTCTATCTGATCCAGGCATCCTCCTCAAAGCAAAGTAACTAGCGATTCAGTCAAGCACATTCATCTCAACTCAGCACGTCTTTTTTTTTCTGGGCAGAAATGCTTTTTGAAGAATCTTTCAAATGGCTTTGAACATGTTTTGAGAAATTGTTTTCCACTCCTTGCTGTTTTTTTAATACATCATTTGCGGCTTGTACGCAGTACCACCTAGCATGTTATTTGACAATCCCAAAGGGTGGCGCTATTGGATGTTTGAAATTGAGGTGGTGGGAACGGGGAAGAGTCAGAGAGCATGGACCTATGATGTTTTTGATAGAATTCAAGCAACTAGAATGTTTTATTTTCATTAGAAAGAATTTAAATACAAATGAATAGAAGCCTAAAGGAAATGTTTATGTACCTAGAAGCAAGCGAGACTTTGCTTCCTATTATGTAAAGTGCTTTGAGAGAAGAAGAGATATAGACGAGGTGAATAGAGAAGTATGTTACGGAAATGTTTCTGGGTGATGACAACGATTGATCTCTGTGTTAGCTCTCTGTGCTACTGATCTGTAGTTGCAAAACACGACTGGTCTTACTCTGGAGTCTTAGTTTGAGCTTCTTTCCTATTAGCCTAGAGCTCGTTGTTGAACGGTATTGTGAGCTTCTGTTCAAATTACGGCTCTTGGTTAGTCTTAGGTTTCTTTTCTTATGCTATGTGCAGTAAGGTTTTTCTTACCTTCGTTTGTTACGAGGTATTGTTTAATGCTCTGGTTGTTAGAGTATTCGGTGATTGTTGTTTTGTCTGGAGAATGCACCTAATGTTAGTTATTGGTCTAAAAGTGTTATTCTCTTGTTCTAACGCTCACCGGTAGGTTTGCTTGGTAAATTCTTGTTGGACAGTATTGGAGCGATGGGGGATGAAAGCCGATCGATCAAGCTGCTTGTTTTGAGATAAACGAGAGTCAGCTCCTATCCTACTCATGTGCTATCTTGTCTTGGGTTTGCTTTACTGCGAACTCACCTCCTGTTTTGCCAGGTGGGATCTTCAGGTTCTTTCGCGTTGGCGAATGGATTATGATCTGTAGAATTCATCTTAATTAGCTTTTGCTCTCCTAGATGATTCATCGCAAGCTTTAGTGACGGTTGCTTACCAATCACAGCTGCGTGCTCTGTCTGTTGGGTTCTAGCCCTTTTTGGGGTTCGGTCTCTATCTGCTAGGTTTGGATTCCAACAGCCTGGCATGCTTCTAGTCGTGAGATTAGAAGCAGCTTCTGAGACTTGCAGGATCCCGATTGCCGCTAAAGACTTTCTAATAGTCGAACGACCCAGAGCTTTGGTTAGGAAGTCTGCGATGTTTTCGGTGGTTTTGACATAGTGTAATTTGATGAGTGCCACCTGGATAAGCTCCCGCACGAAGTGAAGTCGGATATCCATATGCTTCGTTCTGAAGCTGTTTTGAGACGTTTCACTCTTTGCTAGGTCTATAGCGGCTCTGTTATCGACGGCGACTTCAATGTTGCTGGTAGATATATCGACGTCCAGCTCTTTGATCAGGTTTGCAAACCAAGCGAGGTCTCTTCCTAGGTCGGACAGTGCTTTATACTCAGCTTCTGCCGTCGAGAGTGAGACTGTCGGTTGTTTACTAGCTTTCCAGTTGAGCAGGTGTGCTCCTTTTGTGATGACAAAGCCCGTCGTTGAGCGCCTAGTGTCCAGGCAGTTTCCCCAGTCAGCGTCGACGTAAGCCCTGATGGGGGAGATTGGATCCTTTTTGTAGATGAGTCCCACGTGTTTGGTTCCCATCAAGTATCGGAAGACTTGTACCGCTGCCTGATAGTGCTTTATACCAGGGTTCTCTAAGTATTGCGATAAGCTGCTGACCGCAAACGAGATGTCCGGTCTGGTCAAGATGCTTAAGTAGTTCAATGACCCAATCAGTGCCCGGTAGTTAACTTCAAGCTTCTTAAGGGTTCCAATTTCGCTCATGGTTGCTCTCTCCAATGGTTCGCGTGGGTTCAAAGGACAAGATGCTGGATAGAGGTTGATGAGGTTGTATTGTATAAGCTTTCTCTCGATGTATTGCGTCTGGTTGATTTGGAGCCCGGCATCAAAGTGCTCGAGATTCATTCCAAGTAGGAAGGCTGCCTCTCCAGGGTATTTGATTTCAAATTCCTTTTCCATTTCCCGTCTGAAGATATCGGGTTCCGCGCTGATGATTACAAGGTCATCCACATGTGCAAAGATCCACGTAGGCGGTCTGTTGGGCTGACTGGTTCTCCAGAATACACATGGGTCCGAAAGCGAGATTTGGAAATCGATTGACTTGAGGAAGTTCGACAGTCGCTGTGGTGGCGGGAGCGCGCCTTGGCCAAAGCTTTGGCCGGTTTGTTTGGGGCATGCGGAATGCTCGCGGCGCTGATGCGGAAAGCACGCGGAGCTGACGCTACACAAGCAGGCTGAGGAAAGCGGCGGTGCATTAGTGGAAAGTCTAGCTTTCTGAGGCGCGGGAAAGCGGAGAAAGGTAGACCGAATGCACAAGGTTCTGAAAAGCTTACTGCGGGGAATTCGGGCATCGGCGGACGCCGGGGATCACGGCTGACTGCGGAACGTGGGTTCAGTGTATACTGCGGAGGGGCTACAAAGAGCGGGGAGCACCGAGGGGCAGAAGCGGGGTTCGGAGCGGACCAGAGGCGGAAGCGGCGGTGGGAGATCTGCTTAGGAGCGGCCGGAGGAGTACTTGGACCGACAGGCGTCGGAGGGGTGACATGCGGAGTCCGAGGGGGTGACAGCGGATGACATCGCGGGAAGTAGGAAGGGACTGGAGTGTGGGATACCTAGGAGGAGTGGAGTTCGAGGCAGAAGAGGGGAGAGAGAGGGGGGACTTATGACTCAGAACATATCGGAAAAACAGAGTGACTTAGGAGTGAATCGTGTATTAGCCTAAAGAATTGTTAGAGATAGATTAGAGTTAGAGTATTACCTACAAAAGATCAATAAAAGAGAACTAGTTTACCTACCTACAAGACCATCAAGCAAGTTACCCCGGACAACAAATCGGAGTAAGACGTGTTGCGGAGCGGAGACGGACAAGAAATCTCCTAGGGCGCGCCTTACTTTCCACATCGCTTGTACCAGACTAGTGGTGCCTGACGCAGGCCGTAGATGGCTTTGTTTAGGTCGAGTACTGAACCCTCTGGACAATCTAGCCCTGCTGGCGGCAGAAGCGTGACTTTGTCTTCCAGTGGGCAGGTGAGAAATGCGCTTCTGACGTCGAGTTGGTGAATTTTCAAGCCGTTGTTGACTGCAAATGACAGGAGAAATCTAAGAGATGAGGGTTTTCCCGTTGGTGCGTATTTGGCTTCGAAGTTCAAACCGTGGACTTGTTTGAACCCTTGTGCACAGATCCGGGCTTTCCACTCTATGATCTGATTTTCCGCTCCTAGTTTTTTCCTGTAGGCCCAGGTGGCCGGGATCGGATCATCGGACGGAAGCCTAGCTCGCACTTTCCAGACATGGTGTTTCATCATGTTGGCGATCTCTTTGAGCTCTGCCTCTTTCCATTGCTGGTGATCCGGACTTGCCATGGCCTGTTTATGCGTTTTTGGATCTCGCGTTACCGTGATTAGGAAAGCGTGTCTTCTACGTCGTTCGCGGATGATGTTTTTTGTATCCAGGTCACTAGTAATTTCCTTTTCCGGAGGCTCCGTAGTCCATACATATCGGCTTTTAGATGTTGCTTGAGGCGGCTCTTGCGCTTCCTCAATGATTATGGACTCCGTTGACTCCTTTGGGCTTGAGTCTCGAATTTGATGGATAATTCGATTGATGTCTTCTTCTTCGTCTTGGGCGATCTGTTGTTCCTCAGTAGTCACGTCAGATTCCTCGGCGAAAGGCATAGGCTCTTCTTCAGTGAAGCTTGGCAGCTTGTTTATACCGATTTCAGCCACGCTCTTGTTGAGGGCTGGGCATTCCGGGAATGTCGCCTCGTCAAAGTGCGCATGTTTTGCCGTGATTATTTGTTTGTCATCGGTGCGGAGGATGCGATAGGATGAGTAATCATTCTCATAGCCGATGAAGACTCCTTCCCATGACAGAGGACCTAGCTTGGTTTCGCGGTTTTCCTTTGGCTTAACTACCCAAGCTCGACAGCCGAAAGGTCGAAAGAAGTTCATGTTAGGTTTAATTTTGAACATCTGTTCTAGCGGGCTTGATTTTCCCTTCCCCATAGATGGTAGGCAATTTGTCGTGGCTGTTGCTGTTCGAATTGCTTCGCCCCACCATTCAGGAGCTAGGTTGGCTTGCATCAGAAGACATCTCGACATGTCGAGAATCGTCCTGTTCGCTCTTTCAGCTACTCCGTTGTTTTGCGGCGTGTATGGTGGAGATACATTGTGAATTATCCCGCCTTCAGTGAGGATCGCGCTAAGAGTTTTATTGCAAAATTCTCCGCCTCCATCCGAGATCAGCTTTTTCAAAACGTGTCCGGACTGTTTTTCGTACAAGCGCTTGTAGTTGATGATTTCCGAGGTAGACTGATCCTTGGTTTTCAGTATCGCCGTATGAATATAGCCAGTGTATTGGTCTACCAGAGTAAGGAAATATCTTGCGCCACCATTTGTTGAAGGAGTGATTGGTCCGACAAGGTCTGCATGGACGGCCTCGAGCGGAGCGCTCACTGGTTTGAATGAGCTAGTGAAGCTTTGCTTGGTTAGTTTGCCGAGCATACAGGCGGAGCAAGCGTGCGTTTTGTTGATGGTGACTGGTTCTTGCAATGCTCTAGTTATTCTGCCTGAGCTAGCATGTCCAAGTCTGTTGTGCCACTTAACGAACTCGGAAAGTTGATTTTGGTGGGTAGTGAGCAAGCTATGTGGGCTTGAGTGAGGCGTGTCGATGATTTTTAGTTCTAGCAGATCATTTGAAACATCAGCGGTGAATGGCAGATTTGCGTCGATTGTTACTTGACAGATACCGTTAGCGATGTTGATTCGGGTGTTGTGTTTCATCAATTGCATCATGGAAATCAGGTTCCTCGACAGCTTCGGGACGTATAGGGCTTCCTTTAAGATCAAGGTTTGGCCATCTTCGAGTGTGAGTTTGGCAGTACCTCTGGCTACAGCAGTCAGTTCTCCAGCACCGCCTCCAGTGAGGATGGTGATCTGCGTTGGGGTGGTGTCAGTGAATAAGTCTAGGTTGTTAATCATGTGATTACTAGCGCCTGAGTCTAGGACCGTCGGAAGGCGAGGAGTCGTGGCTTTTGTTGTGTGGTATGCAAACACAGGCCTAATGGTCGAAAGGTCAGGATCATTATCGCCAGCAGTGGCGTGGTAAGTCGATGGCTTTGCTTTCTTGGCTGCATAATGTTCTTCCCTCTTTTCTGGGTGGACTGTCCAGCAGTCAGATTCGGAGTGATGGCTATCAGCGGCTGGGTTGTGTCTTCCGTTCTTGCAATAGACTTTTGGCGGTTTTGGTTTGCGTTTCAAGTTTGTAGCGAGAGCGGTGGAGCTTGCGGTGTTGTCAGGGACTATCTGCTTTCGTATAGCCTTTTCGTGGCGGCCAATGTTGCGGAGCTTGGCGATAATCATTTTTGGCTTCGACAAGGCACCGATGTCTGAGAAGAGTGTTTGCATTAAGAGCGGACGTTTCTTAGTGATTCGACCGATTATGCCGCAGCTAATTATTTCATCAGGGATCTTGATTCCGATGGAGCTGAATTCTGAGAGGCTTTCGAGCATGGCGTTTATGTACTTATTCATGTCGTTTTCGAATTGAATGTCCTCCCATTTATTCCATACTTGGAAGATGGATAACATGGAATCGCTCGCGTAGATGTCTTTGATGGCTGTCCAAATTGCAAACGGCGCTTTATCATTTTCTTCTGTAATGACGCTGGTGAAGATGGAGTCGTCTATGCCGTGGGACAGGATGTTGCAAACTCGGTTGGCTTTGGTCTTGGTGCTCTCGTCTGCATCTTCTTTCAGTTCGGAATCGATGAATTCTTCGAGTTCTCTCGCTCGAAGATGCATTCGGATTTTCCGGACCCAAATTGGGTAGTTGTCTCCGTTGAAGCTTGGAACGTTGACGGAGTCTTTGTCGACGTTGTAGACTTCTTTCTCTTCTTTTTCTCCTCCTTTTTCTTTGGACTTCGTGGCTGATGCTGATGTAGTGGGTGCCATCTCGACTTGCTTCTAGCTGTTGCTGGTTGCTGGTTCGAGCTTCGAGACTGTAAATCTGATAGAATTCAAGCAACTAGAATGTTTTATTTTCATTAGAAAGAATTTAAATACAAATGAATAGAAGCCTAAAGGAAATGTTTATGTACCTAGAAGCAAGCGAGACTTTGCTTCCTATTATGTAAAGTGCTTTGAGAGAAGAAGAGATATAGACGAGGTGAATAGAGAAGTATGTTACGGGAATGTTTCTGGGTGATGACAACGATTGATCTCTGTGTTAGCTCTCTGTGCTACTGATCTGTAGTTGCAAAACACAACTGGTCTTACTCTGGAGTCTTAGTTTGAGCTTCTTTCCTATTAGCCTAGAGCTCGTTGTTGAACGGTATTGTGAGCTTCTGTTCAAATTACGGCTCTTGGTTAGTCTTAGGTTTCTTTTCTTATGCTATGTGCAGTAAGGTTTTTCTTACCTTCGTTTGTTACGAGGTATTGTTTAATGCTCTGGTTGTTAGAGTATTCGGTGATTGTTGTTTTGTCTGGAGAATGCACCTAATGTTAGTTATTGGTCTAAAAGTGTTATTCTCTTGTTCTAACGCTCACCGGTAGGTTCGCTTGGTAAATTCTTGTTGGACAGTATTGGAGCGATGGGGGATGAAAGCCGATCGATCAAGCTGCTTGTTTTGAGATAAACGAGAGTCAGCTCCTATCCTACTCATGTGCTATCTTGTCTTGGGTTTGCTTTACTGCGAACTCACCTCCTGTTTTGCCAGGTGGGATCTTCAGGTTCTTTCGCGTTGGCGAATGGATTATGATCTGTAGAATTCATCTTAATTAGCTTTTGCTCTCCTAGATGATTCATCGCAAGCTTTAGTGACGGTTGCTTACCAATCACAGCTGCGTGCTCTGTCTGTTGGGTTCTAGCCCTTTTTGGGGTTCGGTCTCTATCTGCTAGGTTTGGATTCCAACAGTTTTACGTGGATCACATGTCTGATAGAGGAATTGCAGACGTGGATACTGAGCTTTCCTTGCAAACAATGGTCAAATGGCGCTGGGGCTTTATAACTCCACCGCTTTTGCAACATTTTGGAGCCGTTTTTTTTTTGTTTTTGAAATTATAATCCATTTTAAACGAATCCAAGAAAAAAAAAGGATTTGCAAAGAGATTTATTAATAAACGATGTCTAAAGTATAACGATATTGCGAGTACAATCTCAATAACATGTAAGTTGAAAGCTTATGCATGAACCGATCGAGTGTTCTAGGCAAAACAGATTAAATAGCCAAGCTTGGAAGAGACCTTATGATTTTAAACTAATCAGTGCAAGTTGTCGCTTGAAGGCGCGGTGGGCCATAATCCGAGAAAGATAGTGGTGTCGTGTCTGAAGCTCCTGGGAATCCTTCAACTGAGGAACAAGTTAGATCAGCGGGCGCACAGAGGTTCAGTGGGATTCAAAAATAAGGTACGCACGCTTTGGGTTTGTTAAGCAAGGAATCCACAGCGGCAGGGGCCCCACTCACGGCACCCACAGCCCCAAGGAAAGCCGAGTTTATGCCAGTGTTGATGGTATTCATTGGGGCATCCAGGGCAGCTTCAGTAGCGCTCCTGTGGACACTAGCTATGCTATTGACCGCGGCACCGATGCCACTTGCAGCCGAGGTGGTTCCAAGACCGGGGATGAGTGCCAACCCAGGGATGTTACGGACGACCGGCAAGGAGCTGATTGCTGGCAGGGCAGGCATACCGGGAATGTAGCCAACAACTGGCAAGTTGCTGAGCAATGAGGTCGGCGAGGGCAAAGGCTGTGTACTACGCTTGCGAAGGATCCCACTGAGTTTCGAGCCTAGGTCGGAAGCCATCGACTTGGCTTTAGTTGTGAATCCATCGAAAACTGCTACTTCACCAATCAATGGTAGGCTAAAGCGCTTCCTGAGTGTTGATTTTCCGAACAAGCCATGTGTGTCAAGCAGTGAGTCGCTGCCATCCTTTCCAGAAACGGTTAATAGTCCGCCAGATTTGGAGCCTTCGACCAAGCTGTCAGGTTTTGAGGCTTCAAGCACCTCAGCAAGCTTGGAACCTCCATCTGGACCGTGCGTGGTGAGCAGTCCAGCGCTAGTGCCATCGTTGGATACTCCGAGTAGACCGTTGGTCAATTGACCCGCGACAGGAACCCCCTCAATGGTGTGTGTCAGGCCGCCGAGGAGCTGGAGATTGGTGCTCAAAAGACCGTCATCCAGGCCGAGGATCGGGGCAGACTGAGATTGGCCCGCTGGACGTCAAGAAGCTCGACATCAATCTTCTCAATCTCATCAACTCGTGGAAGGTCAACGTGCTGGGTGCTGACTTACCAAGTAAAATGGCGGCAGAAATCACGGAACAGGATACATGCATGATGATGCTGTGTGGTTGGAACAAGATAGATAAAAATTAAGATAACGACGGTATGCTGAATTGAAAAGGATACGTTCGAGGCTGGGTTGTAGGGTTAGCAAGATTGAAAAGCGTGAATCAAGTTTACGTGTTAAAAGCTCATATACATATAAAGATTGCAATGAGAATAGAGGTGATCATCCACTGACAGCCGACCCACCTGTCCGGGCTCAGGATGATGGCGACCTCAAGGGCCGAGGGGCTCTCAGTGAAGGGAACAACTGTTTCAGTAATCTAGTGGTCTTGCGCGATCGCTTGCCCAATTGGCGTGGATTTACCTATCGAGTGTCGACGATAGTATGTATGGCAGCCCAGACGCTGATCAACAAAGACGGGTCCTGATCATTTGATTCGGTCACTGCCTTGAAGGGGCTTGGTCAGATTTTGTCTGATGTGGACATCCTCCTCAAAGCAAAGTTGAAGCATGTGAGCTGAATGACTTGAAGGTAGACGCATCGATAAGGGCTCAGGTAACTCTGATCTAGCACCAACGCCGAAGACCACGTTAAAAAAAAATAATTCTTTGTAAAAATAACCAAGCCACTCCCATGGGCCATGCCCTCACAGCGGGGCGTAGTGGTTTCCCTGCCCATGCAGGTAACTACATAATTCATGTTGCGACAGGTTGCCGCGAAAGCCATCAGCTGTGTCCTAGTGGGGGCGCTTACAGCTGATTGAGAACAACTCACAACACACACAGGTTCCGTATGAGTGTCTTGGCGGGATGATTAACGAAGGAGCTGGCTTTGAGACCCGAGATGGTGTCCTTGCCATTTGGCTTGTTCACAACCAAATCTCTCCGCACCCGGTAGCACAGCAGCATGTATCGCTGTTGAGCAGGAGGCAAGAAATGATTGGCTCCTTGCAATCTTCAGGTCGTTAGACTTGAGCTTGTTCAAGTCTCCTGATTTCACACAACAGCCCAGGTTCTCAGGACGCGAGGTAGCCTGCAAAGCCAACTCTTTTGGCATGAACGCACGCGTTGGTCAATTCCATGCAGCATTTATGTGAAACAAGGTGTGTTCTAAGCTTGTATCCAAAGTGAAATGACCACAAGGAAGAGAACTCGGAAGAGTCTTAAGAAAACAACAATCACAAAAGTATTTGTATGGACATATGTGTAAAGACAGTCAGTAAAAAAAACAATGTGGAAGAATAGGAAATGAGTGGTCACAAACAAAAGAGAAACGAGAGCGATCTAATTTTACAAAAACTGTACAACACTTCTTATTTTGACTGACTGGAGATTCCAATTGATCCGTTCCTCGTTGTAATGGCTTTTCAAACGGTGGTTGTTTGATGGGCATTCAAACGCGTGCGAGCAGAAAAAAGTTGCTAAAAAGAAGAGACAAATGATACTTTTGGTAGTACAAGATCCAAGACATTACCGCAATCAAGCATCGCAAACCCCCTGGGGAAGAGAGAAATCATCGGTGCGAATACCTCCACCCCAAGGGGTGTTTCCCTTGATGGCGGCCTTAGGTCCCAAGCCACGTTTCGAAAAACCTTTCCAGATCTCGCACTGGTTCTCTCCCCCGGTTAAGATTGAGTCGGCTTCCAAGATCGCATTACGGGCATCGAAGAATCCGGGGCGACAGGGTTGAATTTTCATCCCATCTAGCACGAGTTGGAAGATCAACGTGTTTCCGTGTTTCGGGACCTTCTTTCCACTCAACTTGGACACTTTGTAAAAGTCGCTCTTGTCCGTTTCGTCTGTAGGCGGGAACACTGAAAACAGATCAAAAAGCGGGGTGAGATGCAAGTTGAGACCAGCGATAATTGCTCAATCGGTGTGTACTCACAACTTTGCTCAAAGCCGTGTTTGGCAATCAACTCCTCGGCTACGGTAAATAGCATTTCAGCCCAAACTTCCCCAATGGCGTGAACACCCCAGTACCCAGGTTTGTCAAGAGTCTGGTAGGTTTCCGGATTGATCTTGTTGTCCAACGAATACTAAGAAAATAAACACACTGGGCTGTTAGGAATACATCACAAGCGGATAGTGCTCAAACGGTTCCTTACCTTGTACTTTCGGATTCCGCCTTTGACTCCACTGGCCCATTCTCCCATGGTGAAATCAACCGGCTTCGATTTGTGCATTCTGATCAAAGTTGCAAAGAAATCGCCCCATCCTGTAATAAAATGCATAGCTCCTTGGATTAGCTACGGTAAGCGGAGGAGAGGATAGCATCGGTTGCAGATTGCATTACTCACCTTCACCCATGCCACCAGATTCTCCCCAACCAAGACACCCACTGTTTGCAGGTCCACCAGTCAATCGGATACTGACTCCGTGGGAGTATTCTGAAAGCCACCATCATAATTAATCTTTTATTTAGAAAAGATATACGTTGTTTGGCCATTTGACTCACCATGGATAACAATCCCGGCCTCAAGATCACCATCACGCCATGGCTCGGCTCCATTCCAAATGTACATCCTCATCCGTCCATTACGGCCATCAGCTGTGAAGGAATTTCCATCAGCTTCAGGCATTTCAATCTGGACGTATCATGAGTCGACTTACGAGGAGTAGCGAAATTGGCATTGTTGTCTAATGTCATGGTTTAGTATCACAGGCGAGTTATCAACCGGGATCAATCAGTCACTGTACCAAACAATAGTGTTGATAAGATCGAACTCACATCCGGATCCGTCTTGGGCATTGGCAATCACGGCGTCATTCCCTCTACCGCCCCGGTCAAAATTGTGCTGTTGGAAGTTTCCAGATTCTGGAATAGAATTGCAAAATTAATCAAGGTGATCACCATAGAAACGAGACAGGGTATACATGATCGTTTACCTTCATCAAACCCGTAGAGGTAAGTCAAGTCATGATACTACATCGAAATTCAACTCAAGTCAGCGTATGTGCCCATCAAACAGCTTGTAAGACAATCCACCACTTACTTCATTGCAAGTAAAAAACAATTCGCTGACCGCAGCATCAATGTACTGTTTGGGATTGATGTGAGTTTCGGTTGGGCTGTGGGTACGGTTCCAGCCCAAATGAAAGTGAAATTGGAGGTCATCGGTACCATTGGGTCGATAGTTTGACTCCCAGTTGTCTAATCCCTCCCAGTTTTCTTGGGCATAAACGTTATTTCCACGGCTGTCCGTAGCTCGAAGCCCATGATGGGGTAAATGACGAGACCAGCCGGCTGATAAGTGGCTAATGTCACGTTGTTCACTTGCACGGTGAGTGGGTGGGATGGTATGCCAGCCAAGTGGCGAGGCGATCGGGTTGGAGGGACCTTCAACAATCTCGCGCTTGCCAAGGGTTGGATCATTGACGGACCACGGGAAGACGCGATACGAGGCTGTTCGTCTTTCGTCGGTAGCACCTTTGGGCAGGACGGGCAGATCTGACTCGGACTTGGACTGCGAAGGATCTCTGCCAAGAGATGCGGATGATTTAGGCAGACTCTTGAACTCCTCAATGAGCGCGGCTTGAATGGCGACGTGCTCAGAGTATGAAGGGGCCAATTCGCTGCAACAGCAGAGCAAGGATGAGCACACCATGACAGACATCGTGTATCGAGAAGAGTTTGGTGGAGAAAAGGATGTACGAACCTGGTAGGTCTAAAGTCCTTAACCCAATCAACAGCCATGGGCACCAAGCCAGGAGAGCTGGCATCGACGTATGATTCGTACCAGTTGGAGTTACTGCGATACTCGAACCTCCACACCATCTTGAGCTCACGCTTTCCAGATTGAGAGTGGTCTGATTGTTCATCGACGCTCAACCAAGCCAATTCAGCCGAAGTAGCTTTAGTCGAGGAGACACCATCTAAAGAGTCGGGGCCGAGTGCACCGGGCACGTTGAATAACTCAAAGGTTGGGGGATCTCTGGAAGGACCTTCGCCGGAGTCACTGGTAGCTAGGAACGAGGAGGAGGGAGTTTTCTTGATGATGTCGATGGATTGAATCAAATCTTCCAAAGATCGAGAGCGCAAGTGATTCTCCGTCTCTGGGTCGGCAGCCAGTGTGAGGAAGCTAACCAGAGCGATTCTGGGGTCGACAATCTCGGAGCGGATTGGTTCTTTGACTCCGTTCGAGACCTCGCACTCGGCGATCAATCGAAGTTCTTCCTCACTAAAATCGGTCAAAAGCTTCTTCTCGTCTCCAGTCGAGTCCTGACTTGACTGGGTAGAGAATAAACCCATGACTTGCTGGTTGAGCAGTTGATGGCTGGAGGAGAGAGATCTCAAGACACGATCGAACTGGTTCTTGAGCTGGGTGCAACGGGAATCATCCTGATTCCCAAAGGTGTTGAGGAAGTTGATCGCATGAGTTGGGGAGGGATGATCGAGGATCGGATGGAACGAGTCGCTATGACTGAGGATATGACCAAACTTGGGAGATCTTGGGTCGAGATCGACGTTGAGGTTAGCGACAGCGTTGTGGACTTTGAGGTGATGATCGAGATCACCCAATGGGATAGTCTGAACAAAGTAGACATGTAGCACGTTGGTGTGTTTGGAGATATGGGCAGAGGTGAGTTGGAAGTCGAGACTGGTTGAAGGGTGGAGATGGTGGAGAAACTCGGTGGCGATCTTGACTCCGAGTTGTTTGAGTGAGGATGGATGAGCGTGGTGGTAGGTGTGTTTGATGGGCGAGAAGGAGCTAGCAGAGGCAGTATTGAAACGAATCAAGCTAGCTTGAGAGTGTTCGCTGTTGGGATCGTTGTTGTGGTTGGAGTAAACGGAGGTTTTGATGGAGTGAGTCGACAGCTCAGGTCCATAGTTGATCGATTTGCGAGGTGAGCTGGGTGGCAAGGAGTCCTGAGACTGCGTCAGTATGGGTGGGGATGATGCGAGCAATGCAAGCAGGACTAGGATGCTGTTGGTGGCGAACATGATGGTTGTGGTTGAGGTTGAGGTTGATGATGGCTTGAGGTTGGTGGCAGGCCGCTGATGACCCGAATGGCTGATGAGGGTTTTATAGGCGGTCGAAGCCCCGGAGTGTGACAGCCGATCGACAGTGACGGGACATTTCACCGGATGAACAAGTGCCAGTCACTTGTCGATCTGGTTGGGAAGGACAATCTGCTTAAGTCATTCGCACATGTGTCTGATGTCTCTCTCTCTCTCTCTCTCTCTCTGTCTCTGCCTGTTGGCGCACAATAGCCTCTGGGGTCTTGTCTTTTTCTTTTTACCTTGATAGCAGAACTTTGCTTGATTGATCTTCTTATAGCCCATCCAATCCCGAGTGATCACGAAGATTTTAGATGAAGAAGCACTTAAAAACTTATAGGATTAACAGTTTAGGTTTAAGCAAACCGTCTCTGTCCTAGATAAAAAAAAACCCTTCCTCATCACGGGTATTGTCCCCGGATCGTACGATCTAAGCGATGCCGCCGAACAAGAGTCATACGATGGCGTTTACACATTTCCAGATGCACTCCTTTTATACACATGACCCATGTTTTTGTTCGAGCTTTTCCACTTGTCATGACCCGCACCTCCCCTATACAACAACAATCACCCCACCTTTCCTATTTCCCCTCACAATAAACTTCCTTCTCCAAAACAATTTTTCCATCACATCTCCTTCTTGCTCCTCGCCTTGTAATGTATGTTCTCTTAAAATGTGCGCAAATTGCCCTTCCCATCTTCCAACCTCGCCTAAGAGCATCTCCACCCGGAGAGCTAAACCGGGTTGCTATCCCGTGTTTAGCAACCCAATCCAAATATTCATCACCCACCCGGTGTGGGATACTTTATGGGTTCCCATCCTACAACTTCAAAAATTTAGAGTTTTCTTGTATATACAATAATATTACACCAAATAGGGCTCCAGGAAGGGATTCCAGGGCCAAAATCACCCTAGAGGAGCAGGCTTGGACACATGTAACCCCTCTGTGTTACATGTTACACCCCTCTTTTACTCACAGGTAGGGGGGTCAAGCACCCTTACATGTTACAAGGATATCAGGTACACATTTCACCCCTCCGGGCCATGTGATCTGGCATCTGTACATCTCAATCAAGTACAATGGAAGTATGCAGGCACAGCATACAGGTTACCTTGGCAACCTGTCATGCAATGCGTACAGCCTCAAATACAGGATGACATCATGCGGCTTACAGAACACAGCCTGCAGGTTGCTAGGTTGCATAGCAACTGTTGCACAGCTTGTCAATCCGACGGAAACCACTCAACTTCTCAAATCACATCATGTAGGCTGTACCACCAGCCAAAACCCCTCATGTATTCTTCCATCTTGGCCAAATTCCCTCATGTAAGGCTGTACAACCAGCCAAAATCCCTCATTCCTGGCTCCCCTGGAGCCAAAATACCTCATTGTTGTCTATATAAGGAGGCCCTTCCTCCCAGTTGTAATTTCTCCCCAGCAGACTTCCTGCAGACATTTCCCCACATAACAGGCAAATCACTGCTCACTCCATAATATTATTTGTTCCCCAATATTTTGGTTTTACAATTAAAACAACCCTTACATAAAATATTATAACATCTTTACACATAACAACAACCCATTTTTTGCACCTGTACACCTGTTAAACAACAGAGTATCTTTTGATACACTCCACTATCACTAATTAAAAGCTGCCAATCTAAGATTGGTGGTCTTGTTTAGTGTAGTACACAGGAAAGGCAGAGGTTACCTCACACATCCCTTTCCGAACTCAGCAAAAGGTTCTCACGAACACTTTTGAGCTTAACAAGGGAGTCCCCAACGTGATAGAGGATCCTGTCGTTTGGCACGTGGATTGAAAAATCAGTGAACCACTGTAGTGAAAACTAGAGGGTATTTTGGTTAGTTTGTGTTAGTTTAGGCGGGAAATCATACCTGTCTTGACAACCTGAAAAAGCATATCTCTGAATAAGCAATTTCAGTCGGTTTATACAATAAAGTTCATATATAGACCTAGTAGGGCCGGACTAAATAATTAACTACTCAAAAAATCAATTATAAAAGTTAAGAAGACGAGGGGACCGGCTAAGCTGACGTACAAGCAGTAGGATATAGATTTTAACTACCAAGGTGGTAGCCGATAAGCTTAGTACAGAACAGACTGTAGTCTATGACAACCTCTACGCATCGGTATAATTGAAGAATAAAAAGTAGCATATTATTTAGTTTTTGATTATTAGTTTAGTAAACAATACCCTCTACCTTGCCCTGGCAAAGAAGCCAGAGACCTTAGTTTTTAGTGAAGTTAGGATTACTACTAGGAAAATATTAAAACTCATTTGATATAAAAACACTTGAAATTAGTAAAAATCGGACATGGCTTTTTCACAAAATCAAGATTTGGAAGGAGCTCTACCGACAACAAACACACCTTCAACAGGAATATTCTCGGGCAATCAACACAGTCAACACATGAATATTGATCCGCCACCACCACCACCTATGAGACATAATCGCTTACGCCATTATAGGACTTATGGGAACAACGGAAATACTCAATCATCAGACAACCCAAACGGAACCGGAAACACCCAAGGAGGAAACATCGCAAACGGAACCTACGGCGTACCACCGGAAACTAACGAACCTCAAGAAATGGACGAACCAAGGCCGCGACCTGCGGTCATCATCAAGGAACCCGATTTGAAATACGATGGCGAACACTTCGAGGATTTCTTGCAACGATTCGAGCTGGCAGCAGAGATATACGGCGCAGGCGGCTTTGATAAAGCACGCCAGGTGTGTAGATTTGTTCGAGGCGAAGAATTGAAGAAGGAACTGAAATCGATGGACGGATATGACACCCGCAACTGGACAGTCTTGCGAGCAAGCATGATAGAACTCTGGGGCGGCTCAGTGAAAAAGATCCGGTACACGATCAGGGACCTTTATAATTTGATCGATTTCTGCCAAAGAAAGGGAGGAATTAAGACAATTAACGACTTCAAAACATATCAATCTAAGTTTATGATGATAACAAATTATTTGGTCAGAAATGAACATATTATCAACGAAACGGCTGTCTCTCACCTTTTCTTCTTAGCCTTTTCTGTTGACATACAAACAAGCATCAATAGAGAACTAGTCAAAGCAGATCTCATTCCAACCGGGAAGGATGGGTACAACAAGCCACCTCTTCTGATGGATGTGATTGATGTAGCAGAGGATGAAATTTGAGCCAGATCCATCAATGCATTTGCAGCAAGTGGGTTTGCCGAAGCCAATTCTATGATGCAGAAAACTATAGATCAAAAGAAAGGTGATGGAAAAAAGCGTGAGAAGATGGTGGAGGAAAACTCTCCAGAAGTATTGCAGAAGCAGGTGGATAACCTGGCCAAAGCAATAGAAACACTTACTGGAAAGTTGGACAACCAACCAAAAGCAGAATATTCTCGAGGCAACAAGCGACCAACTGGACGACTTTACGAACCTCGACCATGCTGGTATTGCCATAGAGAGGGTCACTCAACACAATCATGTTACGAAGCCCAGGTCAAACGTCTTCCAAATGGTGAGAAGATCCCATGGGATTCATCTAGACCTATTAGGGTTGTAGTGGCTGCGGACTCCGCAAAGCCAAAGCCGACTATAAATGCCGTTTACAAAACGGAGAACCTGGCGGTTTTTTCCTCATCACTACCAACACCACCTACGTGTAGTGAACTTGAGTACATCTCATCGTTACACAGGATTGATTGGGATCCACCAAAATTAGGCGCAGTTAACTTTGAAAAAGTCAGACTGGAGGCCAATATAGCTACTACCCGAGCAGAAGCGCTTCGTGGACGAAGGAAACCACCGGCGGAAAACGAGGACGCAGCGATGGACTTGGATCAAATTGATGAACTGGAAGAAATAGTACGGGACGTACCGGCAACTTGGAAGACACCTGGTCAAATGTCTGACTCTCAAGGGAAAACAACTGCCCAAAAAGGGGAAAGGATGGCCGAATCAGCCTTGGTCTCGGAATTGGACAACTTAAAAATACCAACCACTTTTTCGCAACTAACCTCGATTTCACCAACCTACGCTCAAGAAGTGATCAAGAAGCTTCAGAAACGAATTCCAGAACACAAGAACTCGAAATTAACCTACGTCAAGGACACGAAAGCGGACCCCAAGGTATCAGCATCTATGTTGTTAAACCAGGATGAAGAAGATCAGGAATATAATTGTTTCTACAGTTGCGCTTTGGGATACATTGATACTCATATTGCTGGGAGGAAGATACCATTCATGGTTGATTCCGGATCTATGGTCAATGTTATCCCAAGACAAGCTGCAATTGATCTCGACTTGGAAGTTGTGGAAGTAGACATACCAATGAAGGGAATTGGTGGTGATCGGTGTGATATCAAGGGTGTAGTTGAGAACTGTGCCATTAGTATCGGACAATTTACCGGACCAGTTCATCTTTTTGTCTCTCCGCAAGCACAAGACTGTATCCTTGGACGACCATTTTTGTTTGATTACGATTGCACACTCGATTACCCCGGATCAGGCAAATTACTATCTTTTCAAGGCGATAGTGGACGACGAATTACGGTACCTATAGCAAAAATATGACAAGGACGTGGATGGAATCAGCTCAAGAGTCTGAATCCGTCAGGAGCGGCATACTCTCATGCATACCAAACACAAGCTCCGCTGTCGGCAACCAACGAGGATCAACCACGAACACCACTGACAGCAGCATTATCATCACACTTTTCTGACGACTCCGACGATATCTCTAGGCCCTGTAAAGTCATGAAAAAGTTCGGATGGATAAAGAAATTCTGTGGTTATCTCAAGAATAAACCGACTCGCAAAAGGAAGAATCACACTAACATTGTGGTTACGGTACACCAAGACGAGGATGATGGATTGGGTACGACAGTCCAAAAAGACATGTGCAGTAATTGGAAGGACGACAACTTG